CACTGATGCTGCATGCACGCTGCAGGGACCAAGCCCAGCCCCTCCGCTGCCAGGCTCTGTGCCACAGGGAATGTTTCTGAACTTCTCCTTAAAGAGCGAGGCCTGGAGCACTGAGCCCAGCACCTGACCTACCACTGAGTGCTCAGTCAAAAAGCTGCCCTTTCCTATTACTGTTGCACGTCACCGGCCTTGCCTGCAAACCTTCCCTGGCTGCTCACCACCCAGGGACAGAGTTCAAACTGCTTAGCCTAGTGGTCTGTGCCATACACAGCCCGGCTTTTCACCTTTATTGTCCTTTCCTGCCATGGATCCTTCCCCTCCGGTCGTGCTGTCCCATCCAAGGCCACCGCTGGGATCCTAGGCCTGTGGGCGTGTTTACTGGATATCTCTCATGGCCAACGTTGTATTCAAGCAACCTTCCCTTCTTCCCTAATTCAGCTCCCCTCTCCCTCTGGCAGTTCTTTCTCAGGGTTCTGCTCCCCTCTAAGGAAAACATTCTCTGTGGTGCTTCCAATGTGGGACCCCTCCCATCCCCCTGACACACATTCCCTGGGGAAGTCGCATCCACTCCCTCCTACGGCCTCAGGTTCCTGCAGAACTACTCTCTCCCCTGCCAGGACTGCCCCCTCCAAACCTGACAGCCCTGGACGACACTGCAGACCCTCAGAACCATCTAGATGGAAGTCAACTCCTCCTTCCCCCTAAACTATTTCCTCCTGCTCCTGTGTTCCCTCCTAACCCATTCACCGGGGCCCATCCCCAACTCCGCTCAATGCTGCCCAGTCACCCACCCTCCCCTCCTCCTCCCCACTCCCCACTGCTCTCCTGGCCTGCAGCCCTGCTTCCCCGCTCCACTGTCTGCTCTACAGGTCAAAATGGGGTGCTTGCCTAGAACCTTTCAGTGAAGCCAACTACCCAGAGCAGTGGGCTTCAGAATCCCCTGCGGTGTTTGTTTAAAATGGTTGATTCCTAGGATCTAGCCATGGAACCAGCAGTTTGATTAGGTCTGAGCTAGGCACAGAAACGTGCCTGTTGATAGGTATCCCCAAGGACTGTGATGGAAGGAAGGGAGGGGAGTAGAAAGAACCATGAGAAACTGCCTGCCTCCAAGCCTGGCTTCGGAGGCTCCCTGGATCTGGGCTCACCTGCCTCCTCCCTAGCTCTCCACCCTTACCCACAAGCCTTTCTTTCCCAACTCACTTGTCCCCAAAGGGGCATTTTCTCCCCTGCGGACCTGCATCCATGCAACTGTCTGTGCTGGGGACTCTCTGGCCTGCCACCCACCCCTTGTCCAGCTGGCAGCTCCTCCACGTGGACACCTCTTCCTCCAGGCTGGGTTGGGCACAGCTCTCCGTGCACAAGGCCCTCCACACCCTCCACCCCCAGTTTCTGCGCTTACACTATTAGAGCCTCAGAAACTATAAAACCCTCTTCCCTTCCACTGCATAAACCACGCCCTCCACATTAGGCTGTCATGTCTTGAGCATAGGGGCCATGTCTGTCCTCCTCACACCCACGTTCCTAGTGTCGAGACTACGCCTAGAACATGTCAGGGTCCAATAAATCACTGCTGAATGGATGGCTCAGCATGGAACTCAAGAGCAGCTCTGACCCATAAATACAGAGAACGGACTAGTGGGTGCCAGAGAGGAGAGGGTGGGAGGTTGTGCAAAATGGGTGAAGGGGAGTGGGAGGCAAAGGTTCCAGTTACAGAATGAATAAGTCACAGGGATGAACAGTACAGCATATGGAATACAGTCGATGGCACTGCAAAAGCAGTATATGGTGACGGAGGGTAGCTACACCTGTGATGAGTGTATCCCCATAACACACAGGCCTGTGGAGAATCACTGCTGAATACTTGAAACTAATGTAACATTGTGTATCAACTATACTTCAATTAAAATAAAAAATCTTAAATATTATTTAAGTAATCTCTACATCCAAGGTGGGGCTGGAACTCAAGACCCTAAGAACAAGAGTCATACAGTCTTCTGACTGAGCCAGCCAGGCACCCCAAAATAAATTTTTTTAATTAAAAAAAAAAAAAAAAGAGCAGCTCTGCCATCAGATTGCCTGCACTCAGATCCTAGCATCTTCCCTGTCCAGGTGGGACCCTAGGCAATGTCGCTCAGCCTTAGTGTCCTTACCTATGGAGTAAGAGTCATACACCTGCCTCAAAGGTTGTTGAGGGGAAAAGACACACTGTCCAGCACCTGGCTCAGCTCAGTGCCAGCGCCCCACATGTACTGCACATGTTCCTGGCTCAGAAGCACAGCCAGTAGCTTGGAACTCCCCGTGGGCAAGGACTGGCTTGAAACTGGCTCCTGTGTCCATCCCCCAGCACCTCTCACTAGGAAAGAGTGTGCTGGCTGAGTGTAGGACAGAGTCGTTGCTCACACTGGGGGCACTGAGAAGCCTGCCTGGAAGGCCCACTCCCCAAATTTTAGGCTCAGCCAGCAAGTGCACCTTATACAAAGCCCTCCAGGATCCCCCCCATGCCCCGTGAGAGCCCTGGCCTCTGTCCCAGGGCCCAGGGCTCTTCGACCACAAGGCAGTTGGTCCCTGCATGATCCTCACATGTGCCAGATCCTCTCCAGAGCCCATGACCTCCTTCAGTGAAGCTCAAATGCACCTTCTCCAGGAAAGACTTTTTGACTGACTGCACCTAACTCAGCTCCTGCTGGTCACATCTCAGTAATTAGCTCTTACACCTGTGTTGCTTGGAAGGCAAGTTATAGGTCACTTTTCAGCAGGGTGTCCAACCCATGCTGGTCTCCACGAGACCTCCTGGTCTTAACATAGCACCATGCCGTAGGCAAACTAGGACGATGGATCACCCTACCTTTTCAGTTTCTGCATATGTGTGTGTATAATTAACATATTCACCCTTTCTCCTATCTCTGCACAGACAGAAGACAGTCAGCCTAAGTCTCCCTCTCCACCTCCCCCACCACCCGAGGTTCTCCCTCCCTCTTCCCTCCTCCCTCCCACCCAGATCTGCCCAAGTCTCAAGGATAACCAGCAGCCTTGGGGCCCTGCCCACCAAAGGCCAACACTGTAAGCCTTGAGGCTCTGGCCTTGGGGTGGGAGGGAAGGGGGTTGGAGGGCAGGCTGAAAGAACAACATAGCATGGGGAGGGCTGACTTCAGGGACAGAAAACCCTGAGAAGAGGGAGTAGCCTTCAGACATAGGACATTGAGCACAAAGAGAGAGAAGAAGGGAAGATGAGAGGCAGGATAAAGTCACCCACCCTGCATGTTTGCATAAACTCCCTGAAGGCCCTGGCCAAGGTGGCAGAGCAGACCATCTGCCATTGACCACTTCTCCCATAGCTAAGGCCCTAGAGTGGGGAGCCCTGGATGTAGATGACAAAGTATACAGGGAGTGTCCGATCTACATGTACTGGGAGCCCTGTCCCCATCAGGGATCCAGGGGTGCTTTTAAAACCCAGAGAGGGTCGGGCTTGCCCTCGGGATTGGAGCAGGTGAATCATGGGAGAGAGAACCAGAAAAATGTGGCTTACCTTTAGCAGGTGTTGGGCGGTATAGAAGCCAGCGGGTCCACTGCCCACCACACAGATCTGGGGGGGCTGCTCCTGCGTGGAGAACTGCTGCCGGAAGCCTGATGGGGGGGCAGGGGGGGAAGGGATGGAAGGTCAGATCAGCACTTCCCAAGCCAATATCAGCACCAGACAGAAGCTAGAACTTCCCAAGCTTCACCTCCATTTGCACCCTCCTCCTCTTTTTCCTCAAAGCTTTGGCGTTTGCAGGGTCCCTTACTTCGTCTGAACCCCCAAAGGCTGTGTCTCAGTCCAGAGCCCCGCATCTCACCCACGAATTTACTATGCCCACTCAATAACCCCCATCATCCCTGAAGCTGCCCTGCACAGTACAGCATCTTGCTTTACAGGGGTCCTTACCCACCCAGTTAGAATACCACATCCTTCCAGCGACTCCAAGTCATCCCCACCCGGCGCTGTGGGTGTCCTCTGATCACCCACAGCGCCGGCTGCACCTCTTCGCCTCACTCTCCCTCCGCGGAACACCGTATTGTCCCTATGGAGCCCGGTGCTTCCTATAGACCCCTGTTTCACCTCGGACCTTCAATAACCCCCATGCACCCCGCCTCACACCTGTGCGCCTCACGGTCTCCCCTTCTCACCTCTGTGGCTCACATTTGACCGCACAGGCCCCCACGTGCCCCCGTGCCCCACGCCAATCTCGTCGGCGTGAGTGCACCGCTCGGGTCTCGCCCTGGTCCCCTCTCGCCCCTCTCCAGCCCTGCCCCAGCTCCGCTCGGATCCCCGCACTTGGCGCTCGCAGGCCTCCCGCGCCCTACAGGTAGGTAAGTGCCCTCCTTGCTCCTACTCGGGGTGCTCCCGGCGGGAGGCGGCCGGGCCCGACGCCACGCCGTCCAGGGCCACCAGCGCCAGCAACGCGGAGCCATGGCTGGGAAGAGCGACCAGCCGGAGGACAGGATCGCGGAGACGCCCCGCGCTGAGCGCGGGGAGAGACCAGCTCCGCGCGGACTCAGGCCCCGCCCCCTACCCGGCCCCGCCCCTGCGCGGCCACGCCCCCTACGCGGCCACGCCCCCAACTCCCGCCTTCCGCGCTCCGGGGACGCGCCGCGTGGAGGCCACGCCCCCATCCCCGAGAGAATCCCGCCCCCCAAGAGAAGCCCGCCCGCGGATCCACCCCCTTATCGCTGACGGCCCGCCCCCAGGACTTCGGAGCCGTCAAGACTTAATAAATGTCTCCCCAACCCAATCATCGGGAGAACGAATCTCCATCGCCGTTGCAATCCCGCCCGAAGGAGCGAGCCAATTAAGAAGGAGCTTACTTTTCTTAGCCCCTCCCCCTCGGAGACTCCCGTCGCTCTCTGATGACGCAGAGCCGGCCCCCTTTGAAGGCGTACCCTCCGCGCCCGGGCCCGGTTTCTTCCCAGCCAATCACGAGTCAGGTTCCCTGCCCCTAGCGTGACCACCGCGGAGTCCGGAAGTCCGGGAAGAAAGGGCTCCTGCGGGGACTTTGGTCGCACCTGCGTCGTCTGCAGGTGTGACCCCGGCCGGATGCTGTTCGGTTCAGGTAGGGGGAGGCTGCTGAAGCCCTGGCCTCGGTGCAGGAGTTCAGGGGGCGCAACTAAACCTCAGTAATTAAAGGTAAATAATATGTTAATACATTTTAAGAGGTCGAAACTGATGCAAAAAAAAATCCACGGTGACCAAATATATATAAATATATGTTTTTATTTTTTAAAAATGTTTTAAAGATTTTATTTATTCACGACAGACACAGAGAGAGAGAGAAGCAGAGACACAGGCAGAGGGAGAAGCAGGCTCCATGCAGGGAGCCCGACGTGGGACGCGATCCCGAGTCTCCAGGATCACGCCCTGGGCTGAAGGCGGGGCTAAACCGCTGAGCCACTGGGGCTGCCCAAATATATATATTTTAAAGATTTTATCTATTTATTTATTCGTGAGAAACCCAGAAAGAGAGGCAGAGACATAGGCTGAAGGAGAAGCAGGTTCCCTATGGGGAGCCCTATGCGGGGCTCGATCCCGGGACCCCCGGATCACCACCTGAGCCAAAAGCAGATCCACTTGAGCCACCCAGGGGCCCCCAAAATTATATATTTAAAAGACGGGATCCGTGATCAACTCTGACCCAATAACCTAAGGCCAGCTTCAGCTTCCTTTTCCCCATGGTCCCTCCCGCCAGGCACTTCCTTGGGGAGGCCTTCCCTGACCTGTCCTCTCCCACACTGGGTTAAGGCCCCTGCTTGTCCCCTGGCCGCTCTACTTTATCGCATCATCGCTTATTACACTGCCTTACCTTTTTTTTTTTAAGATTTTATTTATTTATTTATGAGAGACACACACAGAGAGAGGCAGAGACACAGGCAGAGGGAGAAGCAGGCTTCACCCAGGGAGCGGGTTGTGGGACTCATCCCGGGTCTCTAGGATCAGGCCCTGAACGGAAGGTGGTGCTAAACCGCTGAGCCACCCGGGCTGCCCCTGCCTTAACATTTTTTAATTGCCTTTTTATTGAACCCTAACAGAAAAGTGCACAAATCATACATATACTATTTGATGAATTACCACAAGATGTCGGACACGTGCCTCTCTTTGTCACACACACACACACACACACACACACACACACACGGCTGAGAAGTAAACACTGTTCCTGGTTTTTACCAAGTCCTTGTATTTTGTGCCTGTCCCTCTAGACAAGGGAGGGGCTTGTACGCCAAATCCTAACCCACCACCCGTTTTCATGCTAGTGCAAGCTAATGGTTTTTCCATCCTTAAATGGTTAAACAATTGAGAAGAATAATATTTTGTGGCCTATGAAAATGACATAAAGTTAAAAAAAGTAAGTTTTATTACAACACGGCGATGCTCATTTCTTTACATATTTTCGGAGGCTGTTTTCACACTTGCCTTGAGTAGTGGTGACTGACACCATATGGTCCACCAAGCCCAAAATACATATTATCTCGGGACACCTGGGTGACTCCATAGGTTAAGCGTCTGACTCTTGATTTCAGCTCAAGTCATGATCTCAGGGTCGGGGGATTGGGCCCCGTGTAGGGCTCTGTGCTGGGTGTGGAGCCTGCTTGAGATTCTCTCCCTTTTCTTCTGCCCCTCCCTTCCCTTCCCTCTCAAAAAAATGTTTGCCATAAGTTCTGAAAATGTTAGCTATCGTCATCACCATCATCAATATTATCACTTCCCATATACCTCTGTAAATTAGATCTTAGGTCTCTGTAGAGTCTCTCCTATCACCCCCTCCTTCCCTCTCAAACCCCATTGCATTCCCAGCCCACATCCTTAGAGTGACAAAATGGAGCCGCAAAGAAATCAAGTGTCTTGTTCCCAGGCTCCTGTGGTACAGCCAGGTCTGGTACGAGGGCTGCCCATTCCCCACTCAGGCCCAGATCAATAATAATGAGTCCTTGGTATGGATTAGGATGGTTTGGGTCATTAGCCAGGACTATGCAATGGGACTTTTTCTAACATTGCATTTTGTCATTTGGAGAATAAGCAGTTTGATTAATCACATTCCCAGACCCGAGGGCCACTTCTGAGCTGCTAATGCATTTCAAAAGAGCAGCAGTAACGTAGAGCAAAGCGGCCAGCTGGGGAGGCTGCCAACCCTTTCCTGTTCCAAGAGGGCTGCTTGGATCCAGAACTCTGCTCTATCAGCCTCCCAGCAAGAAACAGTTGGCACACTCAAAAGGGCTGATTGAAAAGAGTTTAATGAAGGAACTTCTTACAGAGGTGTGAGCAGGATCCAGTGGATGGTGAAGCCCCCCTGGCTAGCAACGGCTGGAAGCCATTTCCACCCAGGGCCCGAAGGAACAAAAGGAGGAAGCAGTTTCAAAAGTAGTGAGAGCTGTGGGAAAGGGCACCGCACAGAAGCAGCTGTGGTCTTTGGTGGAGGAAGGCAGGGTGGAGAAAGAGTAGGGTAGGGAATGGATCTAGGGGGCCAGAGATGGGTTCTCCACCAGGACCAGGCTGACAGGACGGCGTGGCCTGCTGTCTAACCCGTCTGCCCATCCCAGTGGCTGCATTTAGCCTCCCCAGCATCAGAGCCAGCATGCCCTCCACCCTGTCCAGGGCTTCACTGAAAAACAAGGCAGTTGTGTGCTAAAACACGACTTGCACGTTTGCAACCAGAGATGATTTTGCCCCCTAGGGGACAGTTAGTTGGCAATGTCTGGAGACATTTTTGATTGTCACAACTTGGATTCCTGGCATCCCTGTGGTTAAAAGCCAGGGATGCTGCTAAACATCCTAGGATGCCCAGGATAGGGCCCAGTGACAAGGAACCATCTGGCCATAATGTCAATACTGCCAACATAAGAAACTGTGCTTTGGACTAACTGCTCTGGCTCCTGTCATAGGCCTGGCCTCTTCTGTCCCTCCCTCTGCCTCCAGCTGGGCCCTTCCTTGCGCCCTCTCATCCAGCCACAGGTTAGGGTGGCCCCCAGCCCTCTCTCCAGGCTGCCCACTTTGGGCTGACTCTCAGTGGTGTCTTAGCGCGCTGCCTTCTTCCTCTGGCTGGCATCGGTGATTCTCTATATCCCTGCCTCCCTCTCAGGCGGCAGGCGCCTGTTCACAGGCGAGCCCTGCTCCTGATTCCAAATCCTTGTATCTGCACCCTGTCCTCCGCCATCTCCCCTCAAAGGCCGCCTGTCCTCTAGACCCTATGCCCATCACCCCCTCCAGCCTTGACTACCTTCTCAGTAATTTTTCTCTTTGCAATTGATAGTTCTTTTGGGTCCAGCCCTTCTAAACATCATGGAACAAAGCAGATTTTTTCTCAAGCTAGCCAAGGTCAAGCTCAAAACTATTTACACTCTTATTTATGCCCTTAGTTCCCCTGGAATGCTCTCCCCACAAAACACATACACTTGGATTTCACTAATGGTGCAGGTCTCGGGAGCTGCTGAGCCTGTGCCTTGCAGAGGCTTCTCTGGCTGAGAAACCAGGAAAGTCTGCCAAAAGTAGCCTCTCCCTATGCTCCCCAGGGAGAGGGCTCCTTAGCAGCCACTGCAGTGGGGAAGGGCCCAAGCCCTCCTGGACGGAGGGAAGGCCAGCAGAAGCAAGGTGTGGGCCAGGGAGGGGGTGCAGGGTGACTGTGCTGCCCACCCCTCACTGCAGTCCCACCAGCTCGGTGATGGGAGGGGTCTGTACCATGAACTCCTCATAACGACTGAGAAACAGCCTGAAGCGAGCCAGGTAAGAGTCCTCGTTGTACGGCAGCTGCTTCTCATGGAGGTACTGGGACACCACGGGCTTCACCTGCCAGGAGATGGGCAAGAGAGGCCACTGAGCCAAGACCCCCTCCCCATGGGGAGCCCTTCCTCCTCTCGGCCCCAGCTCCTGTCTCCTGGTACCATGATGCTCTGGAGGAGCTGAGGGGCAGCAGGGGTAGGTAGGATTCCTGCCTCTCCCCTCCCAGCAGGCAAGGAAAAGGGGTCGGGGGCTTCCCATCAACATCCCCGCACCCAGGGTGCCCAACTCCATGACAGTCCTCCTTGGCATAGGGAATAAAAACTGGGGCTCCCTTTGACCAAGCACATACTGTGTACCCAGCATTTCAGGTCCATCTCCTTTCATCCTTAAAGCCTGCCAGCAAGCACTGCTTACTCTCATCTTCCAGATGAGGAAGCTGCAGCCCCTCGACATTCAGTTAACTTGTCCAGAGTCACCGTGGGAGTAAGAAACCCACACGTCTCTGATCAGAAACGCACACTGCTGCTTGTGCACAGGGCTGACCTTCCAGGGTACTTCAGACCAGGCCAGCCAGGGGGCCCAGGGTTCAGGTGGACCCTGAGGGTCACCCCCCTCTGCCCTCGGATAGTCGGTTCATCCAGCCCAACCCCCACCTACCTTCAGGCACATATTGTCAGAGAGCCGGGGGAAGAAGTGATGTTCCACGTGGCAGCTGATGATGGAGTGGCCAAAGGCCCAGTCCAGCACAGGCAGCCGCGGCAAGTTCAGCACGCCCAGGCTCATCATGTGAATCCGGGGGGGTTTCTTGTCCCGGGAGAACATGGGCAGCCCAATGTGCTGTGACAGACACGGGGGTCACACCCTAGGGCTGGGCCGGGCAGCCCTGTACCTCCCCACCCTGCCCTGGACATCCTCACCTACCACTTGGGGACCCAGTGTGTCCTTCTGCCTCCCTCACTCCCACTCTGGCAGGACCCAGAGAGGTGAGAGGAGGCTGGGACTCTTCCGCCTGTGCTCTGAACTCAGTCTCACCCATCTCTGGGCCTCTGTCTCCATCCGTACAAATGAGGGGCTTGGCCTGGATGCCCCTTGGACCTCATGGTACTGACATGCCCACTACTGCCCACTGCTTGCTATCATGCCACTATGCCTTTGTCTCGTCCTGGAGAGACCCTTCCCTGGTTTCTTTGCACTAATCACAATCCTGCTCAGCGTTCAAGATCAAGTTTGTGCACCCTCGTGCAGTTTTTCATTCAACAAGTATGGATAAATGCTTCCCCTAAGGGGTTTGGAAGTGAATGGAAGCATCTGCACTAGCAGGACAGGCAGGTGGCAGGATGACTCCAGCAGCAGTACACTTTGAGATGAAGTCATCATTGGCTTCATGTCCAGGGAGCAGGGTCACATCCCTATGGAAATGACCCTGGATCTGAGTACTGAGCCCCTGGTCCCCCATGGAGACCTGTCTCGGGCTCCTCCAGCCTCGTGGCCTGCGCTGGGGCCTCTGTAATGGCCCACGGCTCATGTCATTGGGCTTATCACAGTAAGTGCCCCGAGGGCAGGAAATGGGGTCCTTCTTAATCACTTATCCCTCCATAGCACCTAATCAAGTGCCAAAGGCGTAGAAGTTTTAAATCTTCCATCCACCATCCACATGTGAATGGTAGCCAGTGTTGAAGCGAAGCAAATTCTTTACCTGATAACCCACAGAGAGTTTGGGGTGGAAAGTGGAGGAATGAATGCTCCTCTCTCTCCCTAGAACACTGAGTCTAGCGGGGGGGGGGGTGTCTAGTGTGTGGGGGGGCTCACCTGGAAGATGTTCACATGGAGGTAAGGGTGGGCCAGCAGGGATCTGGTGGTGAGCATGCAGAGCAGGGCCGAGCCAGGGCTCCTGAAGCCAGACACGTTCAGGAGCGCCCAGTAGTGAGCATAGAGGCCCAGGGAAATCAGGCCCAGCGACCGCGCAGCCGACCTGAGCTCCACCTTCCTCAGCCGCTCTGCCAGAGGGAGCAAGACGTAGAGTGCCGGGGTCAGGGGAGGGCAAGGTGCTGCTCCGACACAAGCCGGCTCCATGCGGCCCCAGTGCTGCTAACTAGTGAGCTAACTAGGGCCAAGAGTGCATCCACACAGTCCCAAAAAGTACATCCACCCATTTTCTGGATATGGAAGCAGAGTATTAAGCAACCTGACCAAGGCCACTCTGCTAGTAAGTGGCAGGGACCCAGGGCTGGGACCCAGGTGTGCTGCCCTCCTGCCCCTCCTTCCGCCGTATGATATTGCTCCCATGATTTTAACATGCAGTGTAACCTGAGGCATGTGCAAAGTATTTTTATATGCATGACCTCACAGTGCTTTCACACCACCCTTGAGGACCAGGTGAGAACCTGAGTCAGAGTGGTTAAATTACCTGCTGATGGTCATCAGCCAGTAAGTAAGTGGCAGAGCCAGACTTGGCCCTGGGTCCAGGGCCCTTCCACCCTGCATGGCTGTCTCAGGCCTCTGGGAAGCCAGGAGGGGAAGTAAGGAAAGCGGGAAGCAGGTCGTGCCAGGGCACAGCCCTGGCATACTCACCCACAGCCACCAGTGGGGTTATGATGGGGATCAAGAGAGGAGCCAGGAACATGTACACATAGCGGTTGAGGCAAGGCAACCTCCACGTGCTTGAGTCCCCCAGGCCCAACACGTTGGTGTAACCGTGGTGCATCTTGACGTGTCCATACTTGGCGTACTCTGCACTGAAGGCAGAGCATACCTGGAGGAGGGGCCAGAGAGGGCACCGGAGTCCATGTTGGGCACAGTCAAGCAAAGCAGGACCTTTGCGAGCCCTGAGAACACCCACCATCCCCGGAAGCTGCATTTCCAGGGCCTCCCTGCCTCACACCCCCCAGCTACCCACACCATCAGCTCGCAGGTATCCATGACCACAGGGTGGCAGCCAGTCAAAAGAGCTGCACCCACTCAGTGTGGCGATGCTAAGTGTTTGGAGGTGGGAAGCAACTGGGAAGCCCCAGTTGCCACTGTGCCACTGACCACCCAGGCAAGCCTGCAGGCCTGAGGGGGCCGTCAGGGGGGTAAAGCTCTTGGCACCCTATTGCAATTACTTTGTGCCTGTTTCTCTTGGAAACCTCCGTATCTTCAGAGCACTGCTTTGCATTCTGAGCCCCTGGCAGTGTGGGGAGGGGTGCAGGAGTGATATGTCCCTGAGGGTGGCGACGAGGACCAGGTGCCCCGGTGGGGGCTGAGTGTGAACTGCTCCCCAGGGCCGACTCCTCTGGTCTGCGCCCTTGTCCTCATCCTCATGGGATTCTTCCAAACTGCCCAGGAGCCGCAGCGGGACAGCAGTTCTGGACTCGAGGAGGCAGTCGTTCCAAATGCAAAAGCAGCACTAAGGTGTTTCTTATGCAGATACATGCAAATTAAAATGCAGATGTCAGCCTCCTCCAATATTTTAATCAGGCCAGAAGATTTTGCTAATTTTGTCGAAGAGGCCGCCTGCCTGTTTCCAGAACACCAAGAGTTTCCCAGTTGAGATCACTGTGAGCCTCGTGAAGAGAGAACAGCCTTCACCGAGTGCTCAGTGTCCTGCACCTCACACGTGTCATCTGTTCATCTTCCAAGCCCAGCGGGTCAGCGGCCTTATGATCCACCCTTGATAGAAGCAGAAACCAAGACAGAGAGAGGCCACGTGACCACCCCAGGTCACCCAGGGAGGAAGGCGGCAGAGGTAGGATTTGAACCCAGAATCCACCCAAGACAAGCCATCAGACAGACCCCTGAGACGAGCCACCAACTGCAAGGCAGCGGGTTCCCGGGCTCTGGATCCAGGCAGCAGAGGCAAAGCCAGGAGAAGACAAATCAGGAAAGACATTGCAGAAACTTGGACTAAAACGGCACGAAGATGTAACCGGAAGCTCCAGCCAAGGACACCGAGGGGCACAGCAGGGACGCTCCACGGAAGCTGTACCGCAGACAGACCTGCCCAACGGGCACAGCCCGGCCCCGGAGGCAGGACGAGGGCTCTGCTCTCCAGGGAGGTAACCCGCCCAGGGATGGGTTGTGCTCGCTGCTTTTGTCACCTGTTTTGACATCTCTTCCAGGCCTTCGGGTCTCCAGAGCACGTGCCCACTGGGGCCGCATGGTTGGTTCCAGTTCCAGGCAGAGGCTTCCAGCCCCTGGCGCGAGGAGCTGCAGCTGGGGGCCGCTGGGCCGTCCCCGGAGGCCAGCCTGCCTCTGGCTGAGGCCTGCGAGCGTGTGTTTGGAATCTCAAGTTCTACCCCATGGAACTTGGAAGAAGCAGCTTTTTTTTTTTTTTTTTTTAAGAAACCATATATATTTTTAGATTTTATTTACTTATTTGAGAGAGAGAAAGCACGAGCAGGGAGGAAGAGGAGAGGGAGAAGCAGACTCCCCACTGAGTAGGGAGCCCAATGCAGATGCAGCGCTAGATCCCAGGACCCTGAGATCATGACCTGAGCCGAAGGCAGCCGCTCCATCAACAGAGCCAGCCGGGCGCCCTAAGGTAGGTGTCGCTTCTTCCTGTGGCTATGCTCTGTGCCCCTCAGGAAGAATTAATTAAGGGCCCCGGTCTCTTAGCAGCACCCAGGCACTGCAAGTGGCCAGAGTGTGCACGGGGCAGGCACCAGGGCACGTCCTCTTGACACTTCCCTCCACTCAGCGTCAGGGACCCCAAGTATCTCCTCATTCACCTATTCCTCCACTTGGCTGTCTGCACTCGGAAGCACCCTCAGACCTCTGCCGAGGGCCAAAGATAGTTAACAGCTAAGGTGGTGGTTTGAAAAAACTGACCCTTCAAATAGGTAATACATTTATATAATTCAGAATTCAAAAACTATGCAGTTACAGCTCTTCCTACCTCAGTGAGGCCCCAGGTCCCCACTTTCCTCCTGGGAGGTCCTTGATCTCTTACGTGTCCTCGAATATTTTTTTAAAGATTTTATTCATTTACTCATGAGAGACACAGAGAGAGAGAAAGGCAGAGACACAGGCAGAGGGAGAAGCAGGCTCCATGCAAGCAGCCCGATGTGGGACTCGATCCCAGGACTCCAGGATCACGCCCTGGGCCAAAGGCAGGCGCCAAACCACTGAGCCACCCAGGGATCCCCATGTCCTTGAATATTATTTTTTAACTTTTTAAAATATTTTTTTTATTTTTTATTTATTCATGAGAAACACAGAGAGAGAGAAAAAGTGAGTGAGAGAGAGAGAAGCAGGGTCCATGCAAGGAGCCCAAAGTGGGACTTGATCCTGGGTCTCCAGGATCATGCCCTGGGCTGAAGGCGGTGGCTCTAAACCACTGAGCCACCTGGGCTGCCCTTTTATTTTTTTAAACAAACAATGACCTGGCAGTATTAAAACCCATGGTAATAAAATTATGATGCAAAGTTGGGATGTAAACAGGTCATTCTACTGGATTGGGAGGGGAGGGGCAGGACAAGACAGGTGATGGCTGCAGGCTGTTGGAAAAGGAATGGGGATGGGACAGGCAAGAGGGACAGATCCGGGAGGAGCAAGAGGGATTAAGGGCTATGACCAGGTTTCCAGCTTAGGGTTTAGGGCATGGTGGGATCACTGCCAATGTGGGCACAGGGACAGGGGGCAAACAAGCATGGACCAGATGGGACGGAAAGGTGCCTTGCTGTCCCGGACCAGCTGTCCTGAGGCAGGACAGGCCCCGGGCTCCCTCCAGGCCCTCTCTCACTGATTCCGAGGAGCTGAGCAGCCCCTTCATGTTGGCTTCAGGGTGGTGGGGGCCTCTTGGGCTCCCCGGGCCTCAGCAATAGGTTTGTCAGATAAAGTATAGGACCCGCAGGTAAATTCAAATTTCAGATAAGCAACCAATTCTTGTAGAGTATATCCCAGATGCACCCCTGGGCTCTACCCACTAGGTGCCAGTAACATGCACACACGCATGCACACACACACATACACACACACACCAGTCACAACAGCCAAAGATATCTGGAGATATTGGTCCTATCCCTGCCATGTGCTCCCTGTGCTTTCTGTGCTCTCTCTGTGTTCACACCCTACACACCACCTGGTTGATGCCCCTGTCACATTCCACCTGCCCTGATCCCTGGCTGCACATTTTAAGGGTGAGCAGCCTTGGCCAAGTGACTTAACCTCTCAGACCAGTGTTTCCTTATCTATGAAGTGAGGGTAATCACAGCTTCCACTCACAGGGAGGCATCACTACTAAATGCAACAATTCGCATAAAGTACACAATAAGCACCCAGTAAGTGTCCGATGATATAATCGGGAATTTTATTATTTCCATGTCATTCATGTGTATCTGTTTCCCCACCTGACTATGAGCCCTTGGGGAACTAGAAGCGGGTCTGGGTCATTGTTGTGACCCCAGCACCCAGTGGAGGACTTGTCAGGGAGGAGCAGCTCAGTGATGTGGACAACACTGCTGGCCCATTGCCACTCAGCCTGGACCGACGCTGTCCCAGCCCCGGAGCACCCCCTCAAGCAGGGTATCCTCGCCCTGCTGGGGAGCCACTATCGTGCTCATGGGGAGTTTGCCCTCTCCTCCCCAAGCTCCTCCCTCAAGGCTGCAGTCCTCACACTCGGGCTGCCATCCACACATGACTCCCTGGCCCTGCTCCAGGGTCCTCTGCCTCCGAGGGCCATATGCAAGGCCACCACGGTCCCTGCCACCAGGAGCCGGGCCTTACAGACCAACGGGAGTAGGGATTGCCACGAGACCCTCTTCCCAGAGTCCTTGGGCTTATCTTTGAGGAAGCTACACCAAAGCTGAGGACAGTGGGGTGGGGGCTACTTGAAAGTCCATTTTCCAAATCTGAACATGGTAAAATGGCAGAGATACACAATCACACACACACACACACACACACACACACACACACACAGAGTCCACATGTCAATTTCCTGGTCTGGCTACTGAAGGAGACTCATACACATGTAACTTGTAATAAATATAAATGTTATATAAAAAGGGGCACCTGGGTGGTTGGGATCAAGCCCCACATCGGGTCCCATGCTCAGTGCAGAGTCTGCTCATCTCTCTCCCTCTGCTCCTCCCCCTACTCACACACACACACTCTCTCTCCCTCTAAAATAAATAAATAACATCCTTTTATAAAAAAGATTTTATTTATTTATTCATGAGAGACACAGAGAGAGAGAGAGAGAGAGACAGAGACACAGGCAGAGGGAGAAGCAGGCTCCATGCAGGGAGCCCAATGCAGGAGCTGATCCCGGGACCCCAGGATCATGCCCTGGGCGGAAGGCAGGCACCAAACCACTGAGCCACCCAGGGATCCCCCAAGTAACGTATTTTTTAAAAAAGGATATAAATGTAACTAATGGGGAAAGCTGGGTGAAGGGTACCCTGGATCTCTCTGACATATTTTTGCCACGTCCTGTGAATCTATAATTATTTCAAAACTAAAGTCTGTTTGTTCACAAAAGTATATTTTGTACTACAGATCTAGTCTTGCCCTCTGAATAAATTTTTAAAATTAAAAAAATTAAAAATCACAGTCGGGCATACTCAGACCGATGCCCCACAGGATTCGGGTGGGGACAGAGAGCCACAGTCGGGTGGCTGTTAGAGAGACAGCGCAGAAGGTAATGGCCACACTGAACTTGAGAATCGGGCCCAGGCTGGGGCTTCTGAGCTCTACATCGGACTCCAGCAAAGGTGATGACATTCCCCTATGTGACACCCCTTCCCTCAGGGCAGAGCCAGCCCCCCCCAGTTTCCTTGGATCAGCTGTGACCCCACCCCTGCAGCACAAAGCCAACTTTTAGAAGGAAGGTTTGAGGTTGAGACATACTAAAGAGCTTAGTACTGGATCGACCTGTTCTCTCCCACTCAGGAAGCAACTTTTTTTTTCTTTAAGATTTATTTATGGGCAGCCCCGGTGGTGCAGTGGTTTAGTGCCGCCTGCAGCCCAGGGCGTGATCCTGGAGACCCTGGATCGAGTCCCACATCAGGCTCTCTGTATGATGCCTGCTTCTCCCTCTGCCTGTGTCTCTGCCTCTGCCTCTCTCTCTGTCTCTATGAATAAATAAATAAAATATTAAAAAAGATTTATTTATTTATTCATGAAAGACACAGAGAGGCAGAGACATAGGCAGAAGGAGAAGTAGGCTCCCTGCAGGAAGCCTGACCCCGAACTCGATCCCAGGACCACGGGATCCCAAGATCACGGGATCAAGACCTGAGCCGAAGGCAGATGCTCAACCACGAGCCCCCCAGGTGTCCCTACTAAGGAAGCATCTTGACTGTGAGTGAAATACAGAGAAGTCCGTAAAGCCCTCGGATTCATTGGGGGGGAGGGGGGCGTTGATCCTTCTCAAGCTGTGGGATTAAAACCAAGGACTGCCCTGCCCACCCCATCCTGCCCCCACCCTCCTGTGGTCTCATCACATAACCTAGGACAGAGGGGGCAGGTGCTCTTGGAGGGAAAGCCAGGACCATCACTGGACTGGGGAGAGGCTCAGAGGCTCACCAGCAGGAGGAACAGAACGTTCTCACGTAGACCAGAAATGGGAAGCTCACTCTAGTGCGGGTTGGGTGTATGACTGGGGATACCTCAAAGAAACAGCCACAACTGGAGTGTCACTGTGCTGTCCCTCCTGCCTGCCCCTCCCCCCAGATCCCAGCGGTCAGAGAGGACCAGGCCCCTATCCCACCCTGCAGCTCAAGCCAGCGGACCTGGAGACAAACCTGGCCAAACCTGGGTGCATGGGGACACCAAGGACACTCACTGACGCCCTGGGCTACAGACCAGAAAACTAGATCATTCTATAGTAAGGACACTTACACACATGGAACTTGTAATAAAGTTCTTGAGGGTGAAGGCTGGGGTGGAGCACAGGTGGCCAATGAGAGGAGGATCAAAGAGAGAAGACTACAGGACACAGCAGAAGTGGGGAGTCGGGGGTCCAGGAGTGTCCTGGGCAGCGAAAACACATCCTCACAGAGAACAGGTGGTGGGCAGCAGATGTGCACACACACACTCACACACTCACACACTCAGACCTGTCCAGTTCGGCAAAATGCATGAACTTTTCTGTCAAACACAAACAACAGGGGGATCCCTGGGTGGCTCAGCGGTTTAGCGCCTGCCTTTAGCCCAAGGCATGAATGATCCTGGAGTCCCAGGATCGAGTCCCATGTCAGGCTCCCTGCATGGAGCCTGCTTCTCCCTCTGCCTGTGTCTCTGCCTCTCTCTCTCTGTTTGTCTCTCATGAATAAATGAATAAATAAATAAATAAATAAATAAATAAATAAATAAATAAATAATCTTTTAAAAACACACACACAAAAATAAAAAAAAATAAAAAACACAAACAACACTAACAGACAAGAACAGCGAAACTGCTAACCCTCTCCTCGAGGCTGACCACATGCTCCCTCCAGAAAAAAGGAGCAGCGCCAACACTTGGGGAGCATCCAAGAGTCAGTCGTATACCCTAAATCCAGATCTCCGAGGTCGCATTTAATCTTCGCACTGGCTTCGTCAGGCCAGTGATGTTATTATTTCTGTCTATTAGATGAGGAAGCCAACGCTGAATTAAGTAACTTGCCCAAGGTCAGGCGACCAGTGGGGCTGGGCATGTGACTTCAAAGGTTGTGCCCCGATGCTGGGCCCTGCCAGAGGATTCCGCTTGGCCCACTAAGGCCAGGGGTATGGGGAGACCCCCGGCAGGGGCATGGCCAGAACCAAACCACTTGTGACGTGTCCAGCAGCAGTCAGGACACGGAGGGGAGAACCACGCCTCCTCCACCACAGGGGGCTCACGGGCCTCTAGATAGGACCCTCCACTCACTGGCTTTTTCCTGGACCTTTCCCCCACATCACCTGCAGAGTCATCATAATAACTACTGACAAAACACCTACCAGGAGCTCGACCTGTGCTACGAACTGAACATACAAAAAAACAAAGGTGAGGCCAGGCCCTGGGGGCCTGTCTACTAGACACTGTGATTCCCTGCCACTCTTCAGCGAGGAACCTGGGGAAGCTGGGGAAGCTGGGGAAGCTTCTCAGTAGAGGTGTCCTCAGCTCCCTGCCTTCTCTCGGCATCCACCATAGCTGCCTTGTTCCCCAGAACCGAAGCCAGGGCGTTCTCAGACTTTGGTGGGTATCAGATTCACCTGGGGAACCTGGTACATAGGGTGGCCAGGGCGCTCTCTTCCAACAAGCCTGGGCCTCCAAGTCATTCAGCTGCACAGTGAAATTTGATCTCTGTACAGTCAAATTCTCTTTTGTAATAGTCCAAAATCCACAGCACTCACTCATCCTTAGGTGCCCCCAGGGCACCTGGCACTCAGGACAGCTTTGAAAAGTTCACACAGAGCTAATCCTAACTGCTATGTTCCCCACTTCTCCCCTGCCCATGATTACAAACAAGGGGGCATCTGACCCCAGCTCCAGGCCTCAGAGTCTGGCTAGCACCAATGCCCAGGGATCCCTGGGAAGGGAAATAGCTTGAAATGGACCCTGAGGATCAGGAACCTGTAGGTTCCTCTTGTTCTTAGCACTTTAGAAACGTGAGCAGGGGGACATCTGGGTGGCTTAGTGGTTCAGCATCTGCCTTTGGCTCAGCTCATTATCCCGGGGTTCTGGGATCGAGTTCCTAATCGGACTCCCCACGGGGAGTCTGCTTCTCCCTCTGCCTGTGTCTGTCTCTCTCTATGGGTCTCTCATGAATAAATAAAATCTTAAAAAAGAAATGTGCACAGGTGGGAGAGGAGGGGAAGGGTAGAGAGGGAAGATGGAGAGCACTAGGTAAGAGATGTATAACTATAATATGTCATCTATGTGTCTGTGCATGCGTGTTTAGGTATAGAAACCTTCATAAAACTACATCAAGTTAATAACTGAGTTAATTGGTCATGGTAACCAGTGGCAGAAAAGCACTGCTTGGGGCCAGCTTTCATATTTGTTCCTAAGGGATCTGGGTGGCCAGGCAAAGGTCTACCTGGAAGGGGGGGCGGAAGGGGGTAGGTTCCACAGAGGAACTGGAAAGGCCTGACATCAACGCAGAGAGAAGGACCATCTGGCCAGAAACCTCTGGCTTTGCCCGCAGGTGAGAAGAGTGAGGCAGAATCGGGAGGGAGTGGAAGGAAGTCAGGGGAGGCTTAAGTCAGGAGAGGAGGGTGTTCCTCAGGATGGCTTGGCCATCGTCAAGCGTCAGAGGGGCATGTTCTGGAGTTGGGACACTCTAGGCCCCTGTCCCCTCTCTCTTTCGTGGCTGGGGTTCACGTTTTCCTGTGAAACCAGGAGGCCCCAAAGGTGGTAGCCAGGGCATGTGTCCTGCTAAGAGGAGGAAGTTCTGTCACCACTTGGTCCAGTGCTACAGAGAGGCTAGTAGGTGCCCCCAGGAGAAACAGGGGTGCCCAGGCCAGGTGCACTGCCATAAGTGGACTCGAATACATTCCTCACGCAGCTCTCTACCCACCAGTGAAGCCCCCTCTCAAGGGCTTAGGGCTATGCACACATACACACACACATGACTGTAGAGCATGCTGCACACTTAGATACACATACCAACAGCTGCAGTGGCCTGTCCACATAGGCACACACAGCTGTGCACACCTGCATGTTTCCATGGAACAATGAGATTGCAAAAGGAAAGAAAGAAAGAAAGAAAGAAAGAAAGAAAGAAAGAAAGAAAGAAAGAAAGAAAAAGAAAGGAAAGAAAGAGCAATGAGATTGCCAACACAGTACCCGTAGTCACCCTCACCCCAGCCAGGCTCACCTCCACGAAGAAAAGCTCCCAAATCTTGTTCCAGCGTTTAGACTCTGTGAGCGCACCGTGAGTGGCCAGGTGGCTGCCCTTGACAGTGAGTGTGTAGTGGCACACACCCAGGATGGTGATGCCCAGCCCAAGGACCACGACATTCTCGGAGCGAAGGCATAAGAACCCTGTATGGAGGAAGGAGAATGGGGATGGGGGGCGGGGGGCAGGCTTTTCCTCCAGCTCTTGGAGATTTGGGCCCAAACACCCTGGCCCCAAAGCGGGCTGAAGCCCTGGGGGCTGCCAGAGGCAGCAGCGAGGCAGGTGCCCTTCAGGGGAGGTCCAGGGGAAGCTCCATCCCTGGTGTGCCCCCGTGGAACATCCTCCCCTCCTCCAGTCCCTCTCATCCCTCTCAGAATCCTCCCTCCCCCTCAAGCCATCAGGCCTTCCCCCTCCAGCGCCCCATTCTGGGGACGTAAGGCAGGACACTGCAACTAGACTTTCGGACTTGGGGCGAACCGTCCTTCCTGGGGTCCCCGCAGTACGCACATCTCCCCCAGGCCGCGGTCCCCAGGGGTCCCCATCTCCCTCGCCACCGTCCTAGCCCGCGGCCCCCTCCGCGGCCGCAGCCCGGCCCCCTGTCGCCCCGTCCCGTGCCCCTCACCGGCCGGCAGGGAGAGGAGGCTGAGCGCGAGGATGGCGCAGTCCACGCCGTGGCGCTCCCACCACGAGCTCGCCCTCTCCACGTCGCGGACCAGCGCCTCCAGCTCGGCCAGCAGCGCCTCGCCCCCGCCGTCCCCCCGGGGGCGCCCCGAGCCGGCTCCATGGGCTCCGCCGACGCGACCCAGGAGGAGTCGGGGACGACGTGCGGCGCCCCGCGAGGCGCACGGCGCGAGCAGGGGAGGGCGGGGGCGGAGTCACGCGCCGGCTGGGGACACCCGCCCTCGGTGTCACGGTGCGCGCCGGGCACCCGAGCGCCTCCTGCTGCGCCCCTCGGCGACCCGGCCTGGCCTCCCGGGGCACCGGGCACGTCCCGAGGAGGAGGAGCCGGGCGGATGCGCGCGGCGGGGAGGCCCCCCGGGGCGAGAACCAGCGCCGAGACCCCATGGAGAGCCACCCCAGGGCCATCTGACCGCCTGACCTCAGACACCGTTCCCGCAGCGCCCGGCGTCGGCCGTAGCCTCTTAATCCTCCAGCCTGTGCCTGTGTCTTGGGAGCACTTGGCAGATGCTCCCCGCGACCCGGGCGCGCCTCCAAGACTGCCGTCCGTCCGTCTGTCCGTCCGCCCGCCCGTCCGCCCGCAGGGCCTTCCTCCCCTCGTCACCCTTGTTTAGGCCGCTTCCTCCGCAGCCAGAACAGTTCCTGGCACAAAACCGTTTCTGAAGTCTTAGGACCAAAGGTTCAAGGACTCACTCCATCCAGACAGACCGGGGCGCGGGGGTCCCTCTGGTCCTCGACTTTAACAGTACTGACCCATGGAGAATTGGCCCTCCAGCCCAGTGATTTTTGGAGTGAGAAACTCTAAAAGGAATCACCATAGAGAAAGGCATAACTATAGAGAAAACACACCCAGGGGTCATCATTCCGGGTGGATCCCTCTGCAGTTCCACTTGCTCAGGAGCACCCAGGGGCATGGCAAACAGCAGCCATCCCCCTGCCTTGGGAGCAGCGCCTGCCCCAGTCCCTTCCCACCAGGGCAGCCCCACCTGGAGCTGCTGGAGGTCCTCCCCACACAAGCCCCTGGGCTCTGCTGACTCCCTTCTCAGCATCTGGGGATCTGTTCTCCTTTTTCTTTCTTTTTTTTTTTTTTTGTTTTACATTCTCCCTGGTTTCATACTGAACCCCCCCTTTCAAAATGAGGTCCAGCATGATGAGGGCAGCAGCATTTCAGAGATCTTTGGGAAGGAGGAAGAAAAGCAGGAGGAAGAGGGGATAGAAGAGAGCCCTGTGAGGAGGCTAGGGACACTAATGAATGACTCCTGGTGTCTACCATGGCATCTTCCTTCACGAATTCTTATGAGTTTATCCCTCTGATTCCGTAGAAAAGGGTAAGATTTCTTTACCAGGTCAGTGTTCTAAGGGGCTTACAATCGAACAGACCGGTTCTCACCACACACACACACACACACACACACACACGGACAAGTCTGGATCCTCATAGCTTCATCATTGGCTTCCGTCTCCTTTTTTTTTTTTTTAAGATTTTTAAAATTTATTTATTCATGAGAGATACAGAGACAGGCAGAGACACAGGCAGAGGGAGAAGCAGGCTCCCTGTAGGGAGCCCGATGCAGGACTCGATCCCAGGACCCTGGGATCACAATCTGAGCCATAGGCAGATGCTCAACCACTGAGCCACCCAGATGCTCCGGCTTCTGTATCCTTATTAGGTTTTGTGTTTCCCCACAACTCCGCAAGGATGGTATCTTTCCCGTCTGATTCACAGAGGCCCAGAGAGATTAACTGATCTGCCCAACACCCAGCCCAAATTTACTAAATGGCAGAACTAGAACTCAAATCCAGGGTGTCTCCTCCAAATTCAGTTATCTTTTGTTTATATCAGATTCTTAAGACTGAGAATGGGGAGGTGCCCTCCCCCCAGATATACTAGAATTTTCAGGGAGGAGACATGTACAATTTTTATTTTTTATTTATTTATTTTTTTAAAAGATTTTATGTATTTATTCATGAGAGACACAGGGAGAGAGAGAAGCAGAGGGAGAAGCAGGCTCCATGCAAGGAGCCCGATGTGGGATTCGATCCTGGGTCTCCAGGATCACGCCCTGGGCCGAAGGTGGGCACTTAACTGCTGAGCCACCCAGGGATCCCAGACATGTACAATTTTTAAAAGCATATTTGATATTAATATGCAATATGATAATACAATTATATAAAGGTGGAATTCCATGGCTTTTATCATATAAACTAGGAAACTTCCTACCAAGGTAGGAAGAAAGTACCAAGAATCCCCTCACTTCCCCCTGGATATCTAAGTGACGTTATGAAACAAATGCTGAAAGGATGCCTGGGTGGCTCAGTGGTTGAGCACCTGCCTTCTGCTGGAGTTGTGATCCCAGGGTCCAGGATCAAGTCCCGCCTCAGGCTCCTTGCAGGAAGCTGGCTTCTCTCTCTGTCTCTGCCTCTCTCTCTCTCTCTCTCTCTCTCTCTCTCTCTATCTCTATCTCTATCTCTATCTCTCTCATGAATAAATAATTTCTTATAAAAAAAAAAAGGGAAGCAAATGCTGAGTGTCAAACAGGAGCAGAGGCAAAATGTGCATTAAAGGAGCTCCAGGAGCCAGGAACTCCCATGGTGGGTCGGGCTGGCTGGCAGTCTCCCTGGAGAGAGGCAGATTTAAACCTGACTGAGAAGGAAGAGAACAAGGCATTCTGGGTCTTCAAGACATGGAGAGGGTTAGGAGATTGTTAGGGGCGGAGCCAGGTGCTGGGGTACAGAGAATGGCAGACAGAGAGGTGGGGGCTTGCTCCTGAAGGCCCAGGGAGCCATAGCAGCCTCTAGAGCAAGGGAATGACTCACATAATGTGTTCAGGAAGGGTCAGAGGCATAGCGGAGTAGCCCACTGGAGTGCACGAGACTAATTTGGAGACTGTTTCAGCACCCTAAAACAGGAGGCTACTGACGATGTAGATGGCAAGGGAGGGGTGTTGTAGGATGGAAGAGGGCTAAGTCAAAATCTGGAAGACTGAGATAAACAGTTCACCGAAGGAAATGTACAGATGGCCTGTGGGCCCATGAAAAGATGCTCCACATCATCAGTCTTTAGGGAAATGCAGATTAAAATCCCCAATGAGCTAGCCCTTCAGACCTGCTATTTCCTAAATGCCAATCGCCAGGCACCACTAAACGTTGGCAAGAGGGTGTGGAGCAACTGACCTCTCATTCGGGCTGACAAGGGTACAAGGCGATACAACCCCTCTGGAAAACAGTTTGGCAGTTTCCTGTTAAGGTTAAATATACACTTATCCTATGACCCAGCAAGGCAGCTCCCAGATCTTCAACCAACAGAAATAAAAACATGTGTCCCCATAAAAATGTGTATCTCAGGAACGCCTGGGTGGCTCAGTGGTTGAGCATCTGCCTTTGGCCCAGGGTGTGATCCTGAAATCCCAGGATCAAGTCCCACATTGGGCTCCCTGCATGGGGCCTGCTTCTCTCTCTGCCTGTGTCTCTGCCTCTTCCTGTGTGTGTCTCATGAATAAATAAATAAAACTTTTTTTAAAAATGTGTATCTCGATGATCAAAGCAGCGTTGTTCATCATAGCCACATTGGAAATAACGCGAATGTCCATCAACGGGAGAATGGACGGACACACAGGTACCTCCAAACAACACCCATAATATAAAAGAGCAGCTGGTGCAGGCAACAGTGCGGACGGACGAACAGTGTGGATAAGCTGACGCAGCCCTGCAGACAGAATGCTGAGGGAAAGAAGCCATACACAGACCAGAACCTACTGTATGATTCCATTTATAGGAAGGTTAAGGATAGCAGAACTAATATACGGCGATAGAAATCAAATCAGTAGTTGCCCAGGGAGGAGTGAGTGGGGGACAGTAATTGCAAAGGGACCCAAGGAAACTGTCTGGAAGAATAGAGATGTTCTGTATCTTCCTGTGGTCATGTTCACACAGGTGTGTATGTTGGTCTAAAGTCATCGACCTGCACACTCAGAGTGGGTGCGTTTTATTATGGTTAATTATACCTCAGTAGAGTTGACTAAAGTGAAAACAAGATAGGAAGCAGATGCTCTCTTTTTTTTATTTTTTTAAAAAAGATTTTATTTATTTATTCATGAGAGACACAGAGAGAAGCAGAGACACAGGCAGAGGGAGAAGCAGACTCCCTGTAGGAAGCCTGATGCAGGACTTGATTCCAGGACCCGGGATCACGACCTGAGCCAAAGGCAGACGCTCAGCCATTGAGCCACCCAGGTGCCCCAGATTCTCTTTTTAAATGGAAAGAGGGGGATCCCTGGGTGGCGCAGCGGTTTGGGGCCTGCCTTTGGCTCAGGGCGCGATCCTGGAGACCCGGGATCGAATCCCACATCGGCTCCTGGTGCATGGAGCCTGCTTCTCCCTCTGCCTGTGTCTCTGCCTCTCTCTCTCTCTCTCTCTCTCTCTCTCTCTCTCCTCTATCATAAACAAAATTTAAATGGAAAGAGGCTGATTAGAGCTGAACATGGGCATGTCCGAGGCATACACTCAACAGAAATGCAAAGAAAGATCCATAGCCAGTGTACTCAAAATAGGCAAACCTTGGGGACAACTCAAATAAATATCCCCCAATGCTACAATGATAAATGAAATGTGGAATGTGCATGCCGGGGTGTATTATACAGCCCGAACCTAATGTTGAACAACCTAAACCAGATGCAACAGAGCACAGACTCCACTTGGTTCCATTCATATTAAGGGCACCTGGGGGGCTCCGTGGTTGAGCGTCTGCCTTGGGCTCAGGGTGTGATCCTGGAGTTCCGGGATCAAGTCCCTCATCAGGCTCCCCGCAGGGAGCCTGCTTCTCCCTCTGCCTGTGTCTCTGCTTCTCCCTCTGCTGTGTCTCTGCCTCTCTCTCTCTGTGTCTCTCGAAGAAAGAAAGAAAGAAAGAAAGAAAGAAAGAAAGAAAGAAAGAAAGAAAGAAAGAAGGAAGGAAGGAAGGAAGGAAGGAAGGAAGGAAGGAAGGAAGGAAGGAAGGAAGAAAAGAGAGTTCCATTCATATAAAATTCAAAAACAGGCTTAGGATACCTGTTACTGATGGGGGTAGTAACCAGAAGGGGACACATAAGGGTTTGGGGGTGCTGGTAAATGTTTTGTTTCTTGATCTGGGTGTTGGTAACCCTTTATAAAAGTCCATCATGCTGTATTGCTATTATGTGTGAATTTTTCTGTATGTATATTCCATCTTAATTAAAACACTTGCTTTATTTTTCTGATTGGTAAAGTGTTTTTTTGTTTTGGTTTTGGTTTTTTTTAGAGGTGAGAATTGGAAGGCAGACGTCACCCATAAGTGGAGCAACACGGAAGTGTGGGGACAGCAAGTTGGGGTGGCACCTCCATTCCCTTGGCCATGGGCGATGGCAGCTGAGCTTGTAGGGTGGGAGAAGCACCTGATATCCCAGACTCTTTCCCATTTCCTTCCTCCCTATCAGCCCATCCTGACCTCTCAGCCCCACATCCCGCCTCTCCCTGCTTCCAGGATCCTAATCACGGGAGTGAGAAAGAACTGTGACTGGCCAGCCAGGTCTGCACCTTTGAGGCTCCCTGCTGGCTTCTCATGACAGGGCCCCGGGGCCCAGCGAGCAGGCCTGGGCAGGTTCCTTGACCTCTGCCCACAGTGGGCCGCTGTCCTGCTGCCAAGGCTGCAGCCGGGGCTGGGGCCTGTCTTCTCCTCCCAGCCGGTCTCTCCTAGACCTACCTCAGCCCCCACCCAAACCCTCACCCTTCTGCATAAGACTCCAGCATATGTGAAGAGCGACACCTTTGGAGTTGGACTTGCTTATTAACTGTGTGGCTTTGGGTGAGTTACTCAACCTCTCTGAGCTTCGTATCTTCATGGATGCAAAACACAGGCATTTGAAAAAGTGAGGTAAAGATCAATGGGCATTTTAACATTTTCTTTGTGTACCCCAACAGTTGTGTGCACCCCACTTTGGAGATCAATGGCCCACAGCCTGAGGTCTCAATTGCTCAGCATGGCCTTTGAGCACCTCCAAGCTCTAGTTCCACCTCTGACTATTCGTCTGCTTGGGGCCAGAGAAGCTGCTCCCTGACCTCTGGGAAGCTGTTGTTCTGCCTTCATTCCCAGGGTGATTGTTTCTACTCCCGCACCCTATCTAAACCCCACCCATCCTCTGGGGTGCTGGTGACTTCAGCCACACCTACAAAGCTCCCATGTTCCCGTGTATTTCACACATGGCACCAATTTTATTGAGCACCTACTGTTTGCCAGGCGCTCCCACTCTGGTGTCTGTCCCTTGCCCTGACCTCATCATCTGCCAGCTAGCGTTAGACACCGCTTGTCACACACTGCCTGCCAGTGATCCCTCTCGCGCACTGTGAGCTAATCGTAGCTAATCGTAGGATTCAGCATGTTCCAGGGTCTGTGTCATCCGCCTGCATGAGTCAAGATAAGTGGCACCAGCTGCTGTAACAAACAGCCCCAAGCATCTCAGCGGTAAATACAACACAGATTTATTTCTTGCTCACATCACAGTCCAATATGGGTCCGCTGGCCTTGCTCTGAGTGGTGACTCGGGGGTTCAGGCTTCTTCTATCCGGTGATGCCTCGGCCTCCAATATGGGCCATAATGATGTCTGGGGTGGGTGGGGGTGGAAGAGAAAACATGAAAAGACAGCTTGAGTTCCAGATCTGGAAGTGGTACGCGTCACTTCCATCCGCATCCCACTGGCCAGAATCGGGGCATGCAGCCCCAACCTCACCACAGGCAGACTTGGGCTCACAGCCTTCCCGTGCCCAGGGAGAGGGGGTCATATAAACAGTAGGCGTCCTGAGGGCACAGACCCCATGCACACCTTCCTATGTTTCCCTGAGCTTCCTCCGTAACTTCCCCCCTGCCACCCAACACACTCACGCACCCATCCTGCCCAGCACAGCGCCTTGTTTACCAGCTGGTGGACAGGCCAGTGTGAGTCAAAACAGGCTGCCTGAAGAGAAGGGGATGGGGCCTGGCGGGGACACGGGTCCTTCCTGTTCTTCGGACAACACCCATTCCCTGGGGCCTTACACTTTGTGTGGGACATAGTAGGTGCTCAGTAAACATTGGTTGAATAAATGAATAGATTGGATGAATGGAAAGATTAAGAAAACAGGCTCAGGAGAATGGAAGGAAGAGATAAAATTTTTGTTTTTTTTTTTAATTAGATGATGAAGAAGACACTGGTCCAAACTTGAGACAGGTGAGCCCTCCTCCCAGGCCCCAACGGATGGGACGCCTGTGAACCTACTCAGGCAAAAATGGGGTGTGTGTGTGAAGGGATGGTGTTAGATGATGCTGGGCTTGGCCTCCCTGGGACCTATGGAGTTCCCCACCCTGGGGCAGCTATGATTCTTCCCTTCTGCAATCCACATCTTTATTTGCTGGGGTTCATTGGGGTTAATTATCATTGTGGTTGGGGTGGGGTGGGGAGGAGCCTTGCCCCAGCTCCAGGCCCTGGAAGGGAATCATGAGAGTCAGGGATAGGTTAGGAGAACTGGAAGGCTGGTACTGGGAGCTGGGGGACGTGGGATGGATTAGAAAGACACCTCCTGCCAGCAGTGTAACCATTTCTAGGCTCCACGCCTGGGTGGCCAAGTCTGTAAGCCTTCCTTGCCTCCCACCCATTCATGCTACCCCCCTCCCCCAAATCATCAAAGCCCAGTGAGGTCTGGCTCCAGAAGGCAAGCGGCATTATTCACTGGGGTGGGGCCGAGCGCTCTGGGGGAGAAGTGGCCTGGCCATGGCTCAGATCTTGATCGACTGAGAGTGGGACTGGCATCCCAAGCTCCCCTGGCTCCAGCAGGGCAGGACCACATCGACGGGCCACCTCAGCGTCGGCCTCGCCTCCAAGGACCCTAGCCCTGGCCCACCACAGCTGCCTGCCGTGTGCATCCCGCCTTCTAGGCTGCCAGCTACTCTGCAGGGACGAAGCCAGGTTGGTGATGGCCCAGAGGGGCAGGTCAGGGACTGAAACAGGTAAGGGAAAGGGGGCCGGCCTTGAGCTGGTAGGGATGCTGCTGAGGCTCCGAGGCTGTCAGCCTGTCCCCACCTGGCAGGAAAGGACACCGAGGATAGGTGGCCCAGGCCATCTGTCCAAATTACAGGGCAATCTAGGTCCTTGAAAATCCAAGGCTGGAGCTGTTAGCAACCCAGACTCCTGACCAGTGAGGCTTTCCAAGGGTCACTCGGTCCCTCCCGCTGCGTCCGTTCAGCACCACAGTCCAGTGTGTGTGAGCGACTCTGGGGTGTAGATTAGCCTGAAGGTGTGTATTGGACCTGGTGGGGCCAGTGCCAGGGCTGGAAAGGGAGTGAGGGCCACGATCCTTGCACAGTGTGGAGACAACCGAGAACAGCGTCTAGAGTGGGGCTCTGGACTCAGACACACCACGGTCTCATTCTTGCTGTGTGACCTTAGGGGAGTTGCTCGACCTCTCTGAGCCTCAGGTTTCTGACAAAGCGACTTGGAGTGGATGAGGGTGACACTACCTAGCTTACTGGGTTGCTGGAGAGAGTAATAAGATCATTTCTGTACCATGAATATCAGCGGACCACCACAGGGCAGGGCTCATCACTAAGCAATTCCTTGGGCTACCGTACTTATAGCATTATCGTTATGGTGCATATTAGTATGATTTAAATCAAACATATATTGGTATCAATAATGATGCTAATAAATAGTTTCTACTTCCAGCAAGACAAAGGGCCCAACCATGCTCACTCCCTCTGTTTCATTCTCCTCGCCTTGTTTTCCGTGTATGCGCGCGTGTGTGTGCACATGCGCGTGTTTGCAGAGGAGGGCTGGTGTTCAGGGGCCCGATGCCTCACCCCACTTCTGCTCTGCAATACTGACCACACTGTGTGGGAAGTGTGGGGACCCTGGCAAGGGGAGTTTAGGACAGCCCAACAGGTGGGTTCCCACCTCTAGTTCAGGGATGCCCAGGCCTGACTGCTGCCCCCTGAGCCCTCCCCACCCCCAGACTCCTGTCTACCAGGCCCCTGGGCTTGGTCATCCACCTACGGGGTGTCAAGACCTGAGCTAAGGGCTTAACATAGTTTATCATCCCAACTGGCCTACTATGTGGGGTTTAATTATCTCCACTCACAGAAGGAAACTAGAACTTGGAAAGACAAACTAGCCTTCCCAGCAGGTGGTGGAGCTGTGTGGCCCAACTGGACACTCTGGCCCAGGGGAAGCCGTCCACCCAGGTCCCTCTGTAACCTGGCTGACCCAAAAGGTAGATCTGTACTCGCTCGATCCCCTTCCTTCTGGATCACTGGTCCTTCTTCCCCTACTGCCTCTGTTCCCTGAGGTTCTGACACCCAACAAACCAGTCACCCAAAGAGAGTTTGAAGAAAGCTTTGTGGGAACCCTCAATTCAGGGCAAGGGGTGGTGCGAGGAGAGGTGGTGTGGGTGGCTGGAGCTTCGACCTTCCAGTCTAAAGGAGCTGGGTCCTAAAAATAATAGATGGGAGGAGTCTAAAAATAGACTGTAGACAAAATCATGGAACCCTCTGTGAGTGTGTATGCACACGCACGTGCACATACCCTTCTAGGAACCCTGGAGGCCCTGAAGCAAAGATCAGTGAGCAAGACCACAGAGACACACAAGCGTGCTCGGCTCACAAACAAACACAACCTTCCAGGAGAGCTCTGGGTCCAGTACACTCACCCCGTGCTTGCACAGATCCATTTCAGTGTCCTCACCCACATTACATACACACGCAGGTGCATATGCACACACAGCTGAGAGCAGTCAGCAGCAAATCTAGAGGCTGAGCAGGAGGGCGGTGGACAGGAATAGAGGGTGGTGGACGCAGCAAGTCCCACCTGTCCCGCATCCCACTCCCCAAGTCCTGCCAGCTGAGCCCCTGTTCTGACGTGGGGAGTCCCTGAGCCACCCTTGTGTCAAGTGAGAACCTGGGGAGGTGGCTCAGTGAATAGGGTACAAGGAGCCAGAGTTTGGGGATTTGAATCCCATGGCCCTGACACTTGTGCACTCTGCGGCTTGGAGAAATGACCTAACCTACCTGAGTCCTGGTTTCCTTACCTGTGAGGCAGGGCAGTGAGATGGTTCACAAGGGTTTGCTGTGCCCCGTATATGCAAGTCCAAGACTTATGCTCTGAGAAGGCAGCTGGCAGTGAGCGGCCGTGCAAACTCACCAGAATCGATACCTCAGTTTAGGCCCTTCCTAGCAGGTCATCCGCCCTGAGCTTCAGTCTCCCCATCTGTAAAATGGAGCTAGTAAAGAATGCCTTCCTGCCCTTGCCACTTGAAAAGACAGTGCTATGAGGGTGCTGTGAGCTATGACTGTGGGGAAGGGGGAGCCTCCAGGGTCAGAGATGGTAAGGGTCAGGCCCCCTCTCCTCCCAGAGAAAGCCCCTCCCCCACTACTGTTCAGGATCAACTCCCCAGAAAGGTATATATCCAGAGCGGGGAGAGGGTCCCACAAAATGTTTGCCCATGCAGACCCCCCTGAGCCCATGGAATAAAGAAGCCAGAGTGAGAGAGGGTAAAACTGGGATTTACAACTTTAAAGGATTTCCACGTCTCATCACACTGGCGTGCCCCAAGGGTCTTTCTCTAAAGACCAAATTGGTGGTTCTGAATGGACTTGCCAGAAGTTTCCCTGCCTCAGACTCCATCAGACTTAGTCATTCAGCTATAGAAACCCGGGAGCAGCGGGGCCGGTGCAGCTGTGCAGAGTCAGACTAACAAGGAGTCAGGCCCTGTGTGTGCTCTCACAGGCTGTATGACCCAAGCAACAACCTAGTGTTCTCGAGTCTTGGTGTTCTTCTCCATCAAATGGATTAACTGACCCCCCGTAATTATTAAATGAGTCGTGTGAATCCTCAGAAACCACAGATGTAAAGTGCTGACATACAGCAGGTGCTCAATAAATGCTCACCATCATGACGAGACATGGCACCGCTGGGATTTGAGCCCTAGCCCTACCACCTCCAGCAGCGTGAGCTTGGGTACGTTTTACAAACATCTCTGTGCCTTGGTTTCCTCATTTGAAAACCAGGAATAACAACGGCGCCCGAGACCATGCGAGTAACACCCTGGAAACGCTTTGGGCACCCCAAGTATTGCTATGACTCTCGGACTATGGTTGGGAGGTGAGACCTGGGTCAGAAAGCGGTGCTGCATGCCTGCTGGGGGCCCGCGGACCTGCACCACAATCCCCTCGGTGCGGGGTGACCAGAGGAGGGGCTACAGGGATCCGGTTCACCCAAGACAGGACCGGCGGACCGAGGTAGGGAGAGGGACAGGGAGCCTGTCTCATGGGAAGACACATTGAGAGAAAGATGCTGACGGCAAGCTCTTCCTCTCCTCACACCACTGCCGACGCCAGGTGGGGGTTCCCCCACACCCACAGCCAATTCTCCAACTCCGGACACCAGCCGTCCTGGAACTTCATTCAGTTCTGAAGCTGACGACGGGGCTCATGTCAGACCCCACAGGTGTCTGGGCTCGGTCCCACAAACACAAGCTCACTTCTGACCTCCCCGATCCCCAGGCTACCTGCATGTCTGTCCAACCTGGCTAAAAATTGGGGGGTTCCCAGAACCCACTGCCTCAGCCTCGATAGTTTGCTGGAACAGCTCTCAGAGTTGAGAAAAGGACTTTACTTATATTTACTGCTTTATTGTAAAGCGTATTATGATGAGCAGCCAGATGAGGAGATACACCAGGTTCAGAAGGGTCCTGGGTGCAGGAGCTTCTGTCCCCGTGGAGTCGGGGGACACCGCCTTCTCAGAACATGGATGCATCATCACCTCAGAAGCTCTCAGCACCCTATAGAGTAGGGGTGCTCATGGAGGCCTCATTGTGAAGGCATGATCGATCATTGGCCCAATCTGCAGCCTCCCTCCCCTCCCCAAAGGATGGGGGGCACTGAAAGCTCCAAGATGCTAACCGTGGTGACCAGTCCCCACACTAAAGCTGTCCGGGAGCCCACCCAGAGTCGCCTCGTTTGAACAGAAGACGCTCCTATAACCCAGGAACCCCCAAGGGACTCAGGAGCCTTGGGGAGTCTGGAACTGGGGGCAGTTACCAAATACATATTTCTTATGATGTGACCAATGGCAAAGGAGTCTGAGGTCTAGAGAGATGAGGCATCAGAAAGAGGAGCGGGGAGACTGAGCAGGAGCCCCAGCATTACAGACAGACGGGGCAGAGACCGAGACGGGGCTAGGCACACTCTCCAGTCACAATGAAATGCTTCTGTGGGCTTGCTCCCCCATCTCGGCTGGCTTTTGCCCTCCCAAACAGCCCCCCAGTATCTTGCCCTGCGGCTCCACAAACCAACCTGCCCTCTCTCAGCCCAGCTCCTCCAGGCAGGTGGGTCAGCCCAGGTGCTTGGGCCACCGAAGTTGCCAGCATGCCCCCTGCCCCCCACAAGCCGGGCTGAGTCAGACATCTGCCCAGGACCAGGCAACCCCAGGCCAAGGGGACCCAAGACCAAAGACAACCCCCACCGAAGGGTACAAGTGCTTGGGCAGCCGATACACCATGGTTAGGCATGCAGGCTTCAATACCACGGGAATTCGTCTCTGAGGCTTGGTTTGTCCACCTGACAGCAATGTGACCTTGGGCAACTCATAACACTGCTCTGACCCTCTGCTTCCCCCCCCCCGTGAAATGGGGATGATCATCATGATACAGTCCTTACTTTACAGGGTTGTGGCTTTAGTGGGAGGATTAAATGTATATAAAGTGCAGACACCTTATAAGCTCTCAACATTAATAGTAAAAATATGAAAGCTTACCTCTGGGGACAAGGTGGTTGAAGGGACCCAGGTCAGGGAGCCTGAGCTTTCCTTAATTAACTGGGACCTGAGGAATGTCACAAAACCTCTCTGATGGTTAATCTCTTCGCCTATGGAATAGGACTAAAACTCCTCACCTACATATCTTGTAGTATTAGGAGGAAGTTTTGGATGAACTCTAATGTTCAGATAGTAATATAATGGGGCCAGGTCAGTGGGCCTGCGATTCCCCCTCCAGAAAAGATGCCCTGGATCCTGCAGGAAAGGATTCCCCAGGGGGTCCTCCCACCAGATGGAGGCCCATCCTTGGCCAGCTGACCATTCCTTCCCTGCCTCATAACCCTCCCGACCCCAGCTGGTGGGATGAGGAGGCCGTGCTGTCTGTCTCCAATATCTAATGGGATTGGTGAGGTGGCATACGAGGGTCAAAAAAGCAGCTGGGTCAGAAAAGCAGAACTGCTCCCCAAAGGGCCTAGGATTCACCTACTGGGTGGGCGGGGTCACAGATGCGGTGAGTGCTTCATGGGCTTAAGGCCACCAATGACCGTGATCATCACTAATGTGTGCTCAGTATCAGGCAGTGTGCTAAGTGCCTAATCATGCATCATCCTCCCATGATCATTTCACCTCCTGACGATCCACACTGTTGTTATAAGGAGTAATAACCACCTGTTTTACTTGAGGAAACAGACTCAGAGAGGCTGGGTAACTGACTCAAGGCCGCACAGCTGGAAAGGGCCAGCACCAGCTTTGCTGCCCCGATCTGGCTGTGTCCTGAGTCCTGCCACCTCCTGTACAACCCAGGCTCATCTCAGAGAAGGTGACGCAGGCAGGCGCTGGGAGCATAGGGCTGTCACGCTGTCCAGGACTCGTCTAACACAGGGACAGGAGGCAGCTGGCACCACAGAAGGCACCAGGAGACCGAGTGCCACTTTGCCCGTTTGGCTGCTCTGTTATCTTCGGCCAGCCCCTTGCCCCCGGGGCCTCAATTAGCTCATCTGTAAAATGAGGTTGCCCCACATACCTGGAGGCCCTTCCTGGCTTCATTTGGCTTCATTCCTGGAGTCATTTGACACCCCCCCCCGCCCCACGTCCACCAAATTAGTAATCTCATTTATGATGTAACTTCCGAGCAGTCTCACTGAGGCTTCTTAACACAGGGTCCCTGGACCCCTCGGAGCTCCAGGAGCTGCCTGGAATTATGAGCAGAACTGCATTTGAGTGTGTGTCGTGTGGGGAGTGCATTTTCCCAGGAGAATCATCTATATCGTTACCAGATTCTAATCCCTGAAGGCTAAGAGCCACTGATTGCTCCAAACTTTTAGAACTGCCCACACCTGGATCTAAATTTTAAGGGGAATAGGTCGAGAAGGCAATCCCTACCATGTAAAATTCTTCCCTTCACTGTGTTTAAAATCCCCTCAGACTTCCTGCAGCTGCACCTGCCACCCGGCTCCAGGCTTCCACCCTCCGGCCACACTGACCCATGGAGACCCCAGCCCCCAGGGCTTCCCATTAGGCTCTGCCTCTACGCCACCCACTGAAGCTCCTATCCGCTGTCCTGTGATTGGGTCCTCACCCCCATGTCCTTCCCCCGGAACCGCAGCGCCAGGACTGGCGGGTGTCTCTTGAGGTAGGTAGGTGCAGTGACCAGGATGGCCGGTAGGCATCACAGGGCGGATGGCCTGCGGAACATCGGAGGAGAGAATCCCAGCTGGCCCCCTTAGCAGCCTGGCGGGGAGGAGAGTGCACCTGCAGTCAGGAGGTCGGTGTTCTGGGTCTGGAGCCTCCCCTCGGTAGGCCTCAGTTTTCCCATCTGTAAAGTGGAGGGAGACGACCTAGAACCCCAGATGGTGGTTAAGCAACCTTCCCCCTGGGACATCCTCTGGACCTTTCTGTTGGATGCTGGAGGGAGGGAGCTGCCTTGCACTCCCTTTGGCAGAAGCACTTGACCCAGAATCCTTAGGGAATGAAATAAAATGACTCAGGGGGCCTTTCGGGACTTGACTGAGCAAACAGAGGCTACTGTCTTCCAGCTCAAGGGGAAGCCTTACCCCCTGGGGAGGAAGGCGGTTCTAAACAGGGCTGCCCCAAGAGCTGCCCGGACTGGTGAGGGAAATGGGGACCACATTGGTGGCCTCCCAGGGTGGGCAGGAGGCCTTGAGATGAGGGCTTTGGGGCCTGGAAGGTGGGTGGCAGCCTCCTTAGGTACAGTGTCTGCCCATCTGGAGAAGGCCAGGCAGGCCCTGCTGGGAAGGGAGAAAGTGTCCTCGTGCCCTCAGCAGCTGCAGGATCTGGGGACAGGGCTGGGGCCTGGACCATCCTCCTCACTCAGCTTCTGGCTCTCCTTCCCCGGTTCTTCTGGACATTCCCTCTCCATCAGCTCCAAATTCTGGGCCCAGAGAGAGCAGGGTGAAGGCCCAGGGATGAGGGAAGGCCATGCAGGGATGCACAAGGACGGAATGCTCACCCATCCGTCCCGTGACCCCCTCCAGGGGGGCCATGAGGACCAAGTCCTGTTAGGTACAGAAAGACCTTCTCCCTCTTCCACCCTCAAGTGATTAAAGGATGAGACGCAGGCGCGACTGTGATACAGAACGTTCTCTACAAAAGTTATAATGAGCCTGTGGGAGGTGTACTTTGTACAGCAGTGGGAATCCCAGAGCCTGCCCCACTCTGGCACTGGGAGAACGGGGAGGAGGCTGAGGCAGGACACAGAGAACAGAAGAGAAAGGGCAGCACCTGGGCTCTGAGAGAGTCGAGTCGGCACTTGGGGGTGGCCCCAGGCCCAGGCCCAGAGAACAGGGAAAAGGACTGGGGTGGGCTCAGGGTGGCAGTGGCAGGCAGCCAAGTCTGCAGTGTGGAAACAGAAACCACCTCCACTGTGGCCCCCGCTCTGGACGCACACACAGACATGCCAGATGGAGGCCTGTGGCATTCTCTGGGGGTTCTCTTGTCTCCTGACCCGGCCAAGGGGGCCCAGGAAAGAGGTGGGGGCTGTGGCAGTGCTCCCAGTGGGAGCTGCTTCCCAAGCTGAGGGTCAGGGATGGAGGCTCATTGCTGACAGAGGAGGAGGGTGCATGCGCCCACACATGTAAGGGGGCCCCTGAGTCTCTCCCCCACATCTGTGACCTCAGTCCAACTGGAAAACTGAGGACACATGTCTGAGGACCACCTGGGGCTGGCCTTTCTCCTGGTCTCACTGGTGTCATCACAGAGCAGGGACACATGCTGAGCTCTCACTGACTGACTATCCACTCAGAACTATGCAGCTGCCCCGCTGCCTCCAGACCTGGAGGCAAATCCATCCAGCAGCCCTCAACACACACAAACTTGCACAGAGCCCCGGGGAGCTTAGATAATCTACATCCTCAGGCTCTTCCACTGTCCATATCACAGGACTGGCCCACAAGAGGCTAGACACCCAGCCATGCCCAGTCTCCGCCTGTCTCTGCGCTGGGAGCCACTGAGGCAGTTGGCAGCTGCCTTTTCTCCACCCCAGAGCACGCCCACCAGGCCAAGGGCCCTAATACTGCAACTCATTGCTCTAGCACCTTACATCTATTGCCCTGACCCTCTGGGGTCCATGGAGGGACCAGGGTGGAGGCAGGGTGGACGAGGGCAGAGTGAGGAGGGCAGAGTCAGGCTGGGCCCTGCCACAAGGTGAACTGGTAAGGGTGCCATTCACCCCCGCCCCCCCACCCCGGCCTGGCACCCCAACTCGCCAGCATGGCCAGTAGGGGAAGGACACTGGGACGGGGGCTGGCTGTGCTTGGGATGGGGGTGGGGACTACCTACAGTCAGAGCATTTGGCTGAAGAGTCTAGCTAGGAACCTCCTCTCTAAGGTGTATGGGGGGAGGGGAGGCAGCCCAAACTCTTCCCTTCACAAAAATGTAGGATATGAGCAAGTCTCCAGCCTGAGCACAACAACAGGATGCTCAGAGGAGAGTGTGGGGAGAGACAATGGCCCTTGGAACAGGCCATGCCCACCCCCCACACTCCCATTCAGCTCTAATGGGCATGTCATCTATTCCCTGGGGCCCCAGGGGTCCCCTGCCCTTCCTCTGGGGCTGGTGTCCCAAGAATCCACATGTCCTTTAGGGGCATTCAGATGGGTGTGGCTCAAGGGCTCCAGGACCCCTTGCTGGTACCTCCAGGCTACACCTGCATGTGGAGTGTGGACAGGCTTTCAAAGGAGATGATCCACATGGTCTTTGCTCCTGGGGAGGGGCCGGGGGGCTTCAGGGCTGGCAACTGTGAGGACCTCATGGTCCCACGGTGGGTTGTGGCAACATGCAATTCATTTTGGTTTGGAGAGAGGAGCCCCCTGTTATCTGTAGAGAAAGACACAGAAACAGACTTCAGGTAAGGGCCTTCAAGACATAATTTTAAGACAAGATGAACCATTTGGACAACTAACCCTCTCCTGACAGGCTAATGGTCAGGGATGGGGACACTGGCCATCCCCATCCAGTGAACTCTAAACCAGACTGCTTCCCCACACCCACTCCTGCCCAGCCATGCAGGGTAAAAGCCACTGACACCAAAAGGAGGCAACGTCATGTGCTGGGCTTGTGGGATGCCATGAGAAAGGGGTCCGCCCAGGGCCAGGCCACCAGTGTTAGCAGACTTGAGCTCCCCTGACAGCTTTTGAACCTGACAACTCTCCTCCCATGGGAGTCACCAGGCTCTAGAGCCACACAGACCGGGGATCAAGCCCAAGCTCTGCACGAAGCAGCAGCAGGACCTTAGGATGAGCTACTGCAAACTTCTGAGGCTCCAATTGCTCTCCTGGAAAATGGGGATGATACAGTCCCTGCACATGGGAGCTGGGAGAGACTCAGTAAAAGGACATGTGCAGGGGCATCTCTGGCACCCAGTAGGTAGGAGGGCCCAAAACGTCCTGGCTGTGATTACTCTGACTACTGTATCGCATTCACACTCATTTGGGGGCATTTTGAGATCTAAACGAAGGTGTATTTTACATTAGCTGTGATAAGAAGGCCTCCTGTCCTCCTTAAATTGGCAGCCTCTTTTTCAGAGTTGGGGATGAACAAATTAAGTGAGGCCTCTTGTAATTGGTGGGGACTAAGTTTTACTAAATACGGTATTACCCCCACACACACACACACTCCTGAAAAGGCAGATCCTCCCCTGCGGTCCCCTAAGGCCCTAAGGCCCCCATCTTCCCATCCCCCCAAGGCTCGGGGCACTCACAACTCCGTGTCCTCCAGGGCTGGCGGGCGCTCCAGCGCCTGCCTCCTCCTCCTCACGGCCCCCAGAATCTTCTTGCGGGGCCCCAGGGGGACGCTGATGCTGCGGAGGTCAAGGTCGGAGCACAGCATCAGGGCCTCCAGGTCGATCTTCTCCTGCCGCAGGAGGGAGGTGAAGTCCTCCATGTGCAGGGAGGCCAGGAAGGTCTCCAGGGGGCTGGTCTCGGGCTCCAGGTCCTCATCCAGGCCCAAGTCCAGCTCGTCCCAGGGCAGCTCCTCCCCGCAGCTGCGGTCCTGCAGGCTGTTGGCACTGCCCAGGCTGTCGTCGTCCAGGCTGGGGGAGCTCTGCAGCCGGCCTCGCGGGGCGCCCTCGGCGTCCTCGCGGCCCAGCCCGTGCAGCCCGCCGCTCAGGTAGTTCCTGCGGAACACCATGGTGCCCAGGCCGGGGCGGGTAAACAGGGAGTCGTGGCCTGAGTCGGTGCTGACCTCCGAGTGGGCAGGCTCGGCCGCCAGCGTGGCACGGGAGACGCTGTCCTCATCCGAGAGGAACATGTCCCGGAGCGGGGAGCGGCCCCACTCCTTGGGGTTGGCGTAGGTGCCCTGGCGCACGAACATCACGTCGCTGCCCAGCTGCAGGCCCGAGAGCGAGCGCACGCTCTTGCGACCGTCCTCGGAGATCTTGAAGGTGCCCTCGCCGCCCTGCTTGCGCCGCTCCAGCTTCCGCTGGATCTTGCCCTTGCCCCTGGCCGTGCCGTGCAGCGTGGCCTGCGAGTAGGGCAGCTGGCTGCCCAGCGCCAGGTGCTGCAGCCGGCGGCTCAGGGTGCTGGACGTGAGGCTGGAGAAGCTGAGCGCGTCGGAGCGCTCGGCCCGCTCGCGGCGGGTAGCGCCGCTCCATGCGCTCGTGGTGCTTGCGCTGCATCTTGGCGCACTCGCGGATGCGCCGCTCGGCCTCGCGGAAGGCCTTGTCCTTCAGCTTGCCCACCAGCTTGGGGTTGAGGCTGCTCTGCTTGGCGGCGATGGAGTCCAGGTAGCGCACGCACTCCATGTGGCCCTTCATCGCGGCCATGTCCAGCGGCGTGTGGTAGTCGTTGTCCAGGCACCAGATGTTGGCCCCGAAGGACACCAGGAAGGACAGGCAGTGCAGGTGGCCGTTGGAAGCTGCCAGGTGCAGGGGCGTGTTGCCCCAGATGTCACACTTGTCTGGGTCACCCCTGCAGGGAGGACACGCAAGGAGGGGTGATGAACCCACGGCTGGCCGGCGGCCTTGGCTGCAGATGCGGGGAGCTCCCGGCCGGTTGGGCGACCCCCGGGGGCGCACCGGCAGGACCCCAAGGCCCCGAGATGTCTCCTCTGACTCCTGGAGATGCCAGACCTACCTAGGGAGAGCCGGGGGAGAAGGGGTGGAGGTGGAGGTGGGGGTGGAGGTGGAGGTGGAAGTGGAGATGGAGGTGGGGGTGGAGGTGGGGGTGGGGGTGGAGGTGGGGGTGGGGATGGAGGTGGAGGTGGGGGTGGAGATGGGGGTGGAGATGGGGGTAGGGTGGGGTGGAGATGGGGGTGGAGGTGGGGGTGGAGATGGGGGTAAAGGTGGGGGTGGGGGTGGAGCAGAAATAGCCCCAGGCCCGCAGGGGGTGGGGCGACAGGAAAGGCGGGGCCGAGGCGGGGCCTTCCCCAAGAGAACTGATGGCTGGGAATCTCAGGGGATAAATATTTGATGCCCAGAGAGAAAGGAGTGAATTATTCATGGAGCCCAGCGGGGAGCTGGCCCAGAGAGGTGGTGGGCCAGGGCCGTGTCTGGGTCTCTAGGCAGGCGCGGTGGTGAGTGTGGCTGAAGGTGCAGGGGTGACCTTAAAAAAGGACACAGGAGACTGGTGGGTGCTGAGCCTGAGCCCCGGGGGGAAGGTGTGTGAGGGTGCGTGCCAGTGTGTCAGCGGGCACGGCCTTGTCTGCAGGGAGCGGGGCCAGGCCTGGCAAGGCTGCGTGTGAGAGCAGGTGTCGGGTCTTGGCCTGGGCTGGGAGGGGAGTGTGGGGGCAGCCAGCACCAAAGAGGAGGAGGAGGCAATTGTGCAACCTGGGCCCAAGAGCCCTCCCTTCCTGGGGCTGCCCTGTCATTGGGAGCCTTACAGGCAGGCTGGCTTGTGCCTGCCGGGGACCCCCAGCATCTTCCCACACCCTCCACACCAGATTGCGCCCCTTGGGAGCCCAGCCGGCTCCTCCAAGCTCTCCCCTCCCACAGGGGCCTGGCTCAGCACCTCTGCCTCACACTAATGAGGCCCTGAGGCCACCCCACAGGGCTGGAGGAAGAATCATTCCCTTGTCTCAACAGCTTTCCCCCCAACCCCCTCCTCATTTCCCCTACTGGTCGCCAAGTCCTGCAGGACAATGTGACGAGGAGCTGCTTGGCATCTGGCCCACACCCCTTTCAACACCAAGCCTTGCTCTCTGTAGGAGTTGGGGGGTTTGGTGCACTGGGAAACCACCCTTTTCCGTGGACCTCTCTGATGGGAGGCAGGATGGCAGGACCGCTGTGTGCTCTCTTGGTGCAGGAAGGGCCAGTCTTGGCTTCTTGGAACATGGCTCAGCAGCCTGGTCTTAGGGCCTGCTCCCACCTGCCGCAGGCCTGAGGAGAGCCTCAGAGGGAGGACAAGGGGGTTCCCACACACACACATGTTCAGGGCTCAAGCCAGCATTTGGCACCAGGGCCAGCTGGGCCCCTTGCCGTCCACTGTGATTTCCCAGGGCCTAAGATGTTCATATGAACCCTCCTGGGTCATGTCCTCCTGGGGGCATGCTTTCCACTCCTTTTCCCTGTCCAGGCTGCCCAGGTGTCCAGTTCAACCAGCTGACCTCTCTGTAGGAAACTGTGGAGGCTGGGGAAGCTGTCCACAGTGTCATTCAGCCCCAAGAACCTACATCAGTGGCCCTGGATCCTGAATTCCTCCATTGCTACCTTCACATCCCTTCCCTGGCCCTGACACGTGGACTCTATGCCCACTCTTCCTCCCAGACAACTCCTAAGGGCAGGAGAGGGAGCCCATTATGGAGGAGGGGCAGAGAGGGAGTTAATGAGGTGGCTGCACCCACTGACATTTGGTGCTGGAGACAGTGCCCATAAATCCCAAAAATGAGCCGGGAGAGAGCTGAACAGGGAGGTGCAGCACTGGCTGGGAGAGCCCTCTGGCCCTGGGCTGGGAGAGGGCCCTGAGGAGCCTCGCTTTGCACCACTTCTCCCCCTTCTCTTCCATCCCCACTCTTGCTTCCTGGTGACACCCACCCAGGAGACCGATCCCACCTCCCCCTCACTCTGCAGCCCCTCCCACAATCATGGACCCCAAATCCCAGTCACTCCTCTCCTAGCCCCTCATCCAGGTCACAAGTGTCACATGCCTCGGGTTGTGCCGCCCTCCCACAGCTGCCAGGCTCCGGGGTCCCACCTTAGTTGGGGTAGAGAAGACAGCCGCTCAGAGGAGGAAGGCGGAAGATAACTTGGAGTCTTGGGGAGTGTGTCTCAGGGGACTGGAGGGGCCTGAAGACTCTCTTCCCCTTCGACTGGGGGGCTCGGGCAGGGACAGGGTGGGTACTCACCCCCGGCTCACGATGAGCCTCAGCGACTCCAGGTTGCCGTGGTAGGCAGCCCAGAGGGTGGGAGTCATGCCGTCCTCGTCGGGGGCGTTCAGCTCCTTCCTGGTGGCCTCTTTGAGGAGCTCCAGGTAGCCGTCCCGGGCCGCCCGGTGGTACTGGTCGTTCATGGCGCCTGACTCGGACGGGGTGGGCAGGGGGCACGGGGAAAGGCCCCCCGCGGGGGAGGGCGGCGGGGTTAGGGCTGAGGCATGGGGCTGGAGGAGGGGGCCGAGCAGGGCCCGGGGCCGCCAGCCCCCGCTGCCGCACACGGAGGTTGCGGAGCGCCAGAGCCGCCGCGGACATCTGAGCCGCGCACCCCGGGAGGGAGGGGGGGAAGGATCTCCCGCCGCCAAGGGAGCCGCCCCCGGGCTGCCCCTGGGTCCTAAACACCCTGCTCCCGAGCGCACCGGGGACGACCCACGCGACACCCTGCCCTCGCCCCAAAAGCGGTCACCCCAGCGCCCCGTCCCATGAGGCCCAGCCTGGGGACGGGCCGAGGTCTGTCCTCACTGGAGCCCCGGCTCTCCGGCTCCCGATGTCTCCACCCGTCGAAGGAAGGGGCCAAGGACTGGGCAGCGGTGTCTGCGGGCATTCTGGATCCCTAGGACAGCGGGCCAGGGACGGGGAGGAGGACTGCGCCCCGACAGCCAGGAGCACCCGAAGGCCTGGCTCCAGGCGCCTCGGCCGCGCGGGGTCGGGGGGGGGGGGGGGCGCGCTCCAGCAGGGGGCGCTGGAGGACTGAGCTTGCTCCCGGAGCCCGACTTCGCCGCGGAGCCCCCTGCGGGGAGCGATAGGGGAACCAGGAACGTCGACCCCTGGGAGGGTGTCGGGGAAAGGGGCACTGGGGCCCCAGAGGAGCACAAAGGTGGAGGGTGCGCTGGGCCTGGGAGGGCGTCGGAGTCCCTGCGGGCCCTTGGGGGTCTGCTGAGCATCAGCGCTCGAGGCTCAGGACGGCGGGGACCGCGGGCACCGCGGGGCGCGAGGGCGCGGTGGGCGCCAGGGGCGGGGTGCCCTCTGGGTGCCGCAGTGCGGGGCCGCGCCCGAGGTGACGGGACGGCGGGGGAGGGGGCGCCTCTTCACGGGTAAATATAAATCTTACCTTATCTGGCTCCCGCGCTCTCTTCCCTAAATTCAGCTCGGAGAAAAGATGGATCATGTGAGTGGGACTGAGAGATTTATGGAGCTGAGCTCCCGCGGCTGTAAATCACCCTGCCCTCCCCAGTATAAAGCGCCCGTACAGCCCGGTGTGGGGCAGAGGAGACGCTCGCCGCCCCCTGACCCCCGGCTCAGCGCGGGCTCCCGGACCAGCCAGGTGGGTGCCCGGACCACACGGCCGACGGCCTGGGGAGCGGGGACGTGGGACGGGGCCCGACGGGGCTGCCGCCGCCTCTCCTGCGCTCCGTCGTCGAGGGAGAGACCCCAAGGGTCCGCTTCTCCCTTGCGTCTCCCCAGCGCATCCTCCACCACCGCAGCCCCCACCCTCGGGGGGGATAAGACGGGCGAAGGAGAGCGCTCGGGTTGACCTGGTCCTGTCCGCTCCTCCCCCGCAGTGACCCCTCCCACCTCCCCCAGTCGCCGCTGCCATGTCGGAGGACTCGGCCCCGGGCCCGGAGGAGAGCCCGCCAGCGCCCCGGGCAGGCTCCCGCGAGGTGTGGAAGAAGGGCGGCCGCCTGCTGTCCGTGCTGCTGGCCGTGAACGTGCTGCTGCTCGCCTGCACGCTCATCAGTGGCGGCGCCTTCAACAAGGTAGCGGTGTATGACACCGACGTGTTCGCGCTGCTCACCACCATGATGCTGCTCGCCTCCCTCTGGATCCTCTTCTACCTCTTCCGGACCGTGCGCTGCCCCGACGCCGTCCCCTACCGGGACGCGCACGCCGGCCCCATCTGGCTCCGAGGTGCCCGGGGAGGTGGTGGGGGGGAGTGGGGGGCAGGCGAGGAGCCAGAGGCTGCGACCCTCAGAGGAATTGTGGAGTGCGCCTCACGGTAGGGAGCTGAGAAATTGGGGGTGGGGGTGGGAGGGAGGCAGATGTGGCTGAAGATGAGATGAGCTGCAGTTGAAAGAGAAGAGGAAGAGAAACAGTCTTGGGAGAAGAATGAAGTGAGGGATGGAGAACTTCTTTGCCCTTCCTAAAGACTGAAAAGGGATGGTCACAGGAGAGCCTTTGATGGAGAGCAGAACAGATGACCGCTGCAGCTGAAAGAACCCACCTAGGGCCCTTCTCCTGCCAATCTATGCAGCCCCAAAGACATAGGGGCTCAATAGGATGTCTGTCCATCCATCCACCCTCTCAGTCCTATACTCATTCTCCACCCACCCATTCATCTTTCAATCCATCCATTCACCCATCCACTATCCATCCATCCATCATCCAACTATACACCCATCTGTCCATCCATCCATCCATCCATCCATCCATCCATTCATATAGCCAGCCAGCCAGCCATTTATCCATCCTCTCAACCACCCCATTCGTCTATCCATTGATCCTCCCATCAATCTTATTCATCTCTCCATCCAACCAACCATCCAACCAACCACCCATCTAGCCATCCATTCTCAGATCTGTAAACCATTCTCAGATCTATAAACCATCCTCTCTGACCCATCCTCCACCCCTTGTTCCCAGGTGGGCTGGTGCTGTTTGGGATCTGCACTCTTGTCATGGATGTCTTCAAGACTGGCTACTACTCCAGTTTCTTTGAGTGCCAGTCGGCCATCAAGATTCTGCATCCTCTTACCCAGGCTGTGTTTGTCATCGTCCAGGTGGGTGGAAGGAGTGTTCTTGAGTGTGGTGGAAAGGAGCCAACACCTGACATGAGGTCAGGAGATCTCCACTCTCCTACCCTGAGCAATCAAGTAACATGGGGATAAGACTGTAGCATGGATCACCTGAATCCATAAATCTGAAAGCACTTGGTAATGAATTAATATCCAAATGTGAGCTCCTACTTAGGGGTCCCGTGATTTCATTTTGACCAAAGCAGTGCCAGTATCAACATCTAGGATGTCTGAGTTGTGGCAGCTGCCATGCCTCCTAGAACCTGGCTTGCCCTCCCTGAGTGCCTGTAGAAGGCATCACTTTCAGTCCAGGGTCCTGCTGTGAGCCTGGCTGGTTTGACTTCAGCTATTATCCATATGTTCTATATTTGTTCAGGAAATAGGGTGTCCTGTACCTGGGATTTTTTTCAAACAAGTTCAAGTATATATATTTTTATTTGTTCCAAACTCTGAAAGATCTTCTGATTGAGCTGAGGCAGGACTGGTCTTACATGGAACCAGAACAGATCTCAGCCCTCCACCATGACCAGAATGACCACACATAGGGTTCCCTCTCCTGAAACATCACCCCCGATGTGTGGATTTCCATAATTCAACACATTCGTGACTTTGGTATTTATGAGAGCTTTACTTTTTTTACATTTTACGGGTTTGAAGAATACTCAGGTGAAATGAAAATACAGACCCCCTTACATCACCAAATACCATGACAAGGATTTGTTGGCAACCGGGCGAGGGTTGCAAGGCAACAAAGGATGGGGATGGGGCAGGGGATATTGCCAAAGGGAGGTGAGAAGCCACCAGAGATTCTCTCTTCCTTGGACAAGACTCAGGCTGGCCTCATAAGTAACTAGACAGTCAAATTTCTACCTGGGGAGGGGGGCGGGGAAGAACAGCAACCACAACAAAAAAGCATCAAGAGTTTACACATAACATTTTCAAACTCTGAAAGAAGAGAACTATTTTATACACATTTTTTCATGGAGAGAGAGAAAGCTCCTGACTCATTTTGTAAAGCTAAGAGAAATGTGGTAGGTTGGTGAGGCTCTTGAGGTAGAAGAAATGTACTGTGGGGTTTGGACATGGGCACTCCAGAGTCTGGCCCATCTGCAGAGCGAATGACCTCCCCCACTCTCTCTCAACACAGACTTACTTTCTCTGGGTCTCCGCTAAAGACTGTATTCACGTCCATCTGGATCTGACCCGGTGAGTGCTCAACATCCATGCCCACGGAGCATGAGCAATGAGGGCTTTCCAACCTGGCCTGGGGCTTCTTTCTGTACCCTGGGTGGGGTTTCAGCCAAGGCTCCTTGGCTCTGTCAGCCTGATTCCACCACTCTGTGCTGTGTTGTGTGTGTGTGTGTGTGCCGACACACTCATACCTATGTGTTTTGGTGGGATGGGTTATATAGTGCACTATACGTGCTTTCTTTCTTTTTTTTAAGATTTATTTATTTATTTATTCATGAGAGACACAGAGAGAGAGAGAGGCAGAGACACAGAGAGAGAAGCAGGCTCCATGCAGGGAGCCCAACGTGGGACTCAATCCCGGGTCTCCAGGATCACACCCTGGGCTGAAGGCAGGCACTAAACCACTGAGCCACCCAGGCTGCCCTATATGTGCTTTCCTGTAGGAGAGGGAGCAGTAGTGGCCTGAGCCCCTGGACACCCCCTTGGCCCTCTCTTGGGTGGCATTCTGGCCAGATTAAGTGTTCCTTCCAAACTCAGCCTCTTTGCTTACACAGGGGGTCTGACTGCTTTCTTGCCTCCCCACATCATCTCCCAGTATAGCTCCCCAGCTATCTAATCTCCCCAGGGACCCACAATAGGCCAGAGACTCACTGGCCTCTTTGCTTCCTCTCCCCAAACAGGTGTGGTCTCATGTTCACCCTCACCACCAACCTGGCCATCTGGATGGCAGCCGTGGTGGACGAGTCCGTGCACCAGACCCACTCCTATGATAGTTCCCACAGCAACACCAGCCACCTTCGCCTCGCTCCTGACCGTGAGTGTCCAGTTCAGATTAAACCTGGTCCCAGGATTTCCAGGCCTTAGGGCTTGGGCCTTAGGGCTTCCAGGCTTGTCTCTCTTGCCCTCACAAGAGAGGAGAGCCTCCTGCTCCAGACTCTGTCTCTGAAGACAGAGTAGGCCACACCAGAAGGAGGGTGCCAGGGGGCATATTCTCTCTCTAGAGGATGTAGCCTTGGCCCCACTGTTCAGGACTCCATCCCACCAAAGAAGGGATTTGGGCTCCAGGATGAAAGGGCGAGGGTGATCAAAGTGGAGGGAAGGAAAGGGAAGCAGGTAGAGTGGCTCAATGGTGGAAGCATGGGACAGAGTCTGGCAAGGAGAAGGTAGAAATAATAATCACAATGATAATAGTGACACTTTTCTGAGCTCTGTATGTCAGGTGCTATGCTGAGTGTCCTAAACACTCTACTTACTTAACCCTCACAACTTCCCAATGAGATGGATACTTTTTTTCTTTTTCAGTGAGAGAGAGAGAGAGAAAATGTGTGTGTAAGAGTGGGGACAGGGGAGGGGCAGAGGAAGAGGGAGAGAGAGAATCTTAAGCAGACTCGGCACTGAGCATAGAGCCTGGCACAGGACTCGATCTCATGACCCTGAGATCATGACCTGAGCCGAAATCAAGAGTCTGAGGCTTAACCAACTGAGTCCCAAAATGAGTACTATTAATATCTCCATTTTACAGATACAGAAACTGAGGCCTAAAAGGTGAAATAATTTGCAATATTCACAGAACTACACTGAAGAATAGAGTCCACAGGCTCCCTGGGCCAGTTCTCTGGACTTCGGTAGCTCCCCCGCCCCACCCCACTAACCAGGACCAGACTAGATGATTGATGGTTAAAAACCAACCTGGAGGGGGCACCTGGGTGGCTCAGTCGGTTAAACATCCAACTCTTAATTTTGTTTTTGTTTTTTTAAGATTTTATTTATTTATTCATGAGAGACAGAGAGAGAGAGAGGAACAGACACAGGCAGAGGGAGAAGCAGGCTCCATGCAGGGAGCCCGACGTGGGACTCGATCCTGGGTCTCCAGGATCACACCCTGGGCTGAAGGTGGTGCTAAAGTGCTGCGCCACCCAGGCTGCCCCCAACTCTTAATTTTGGCTCAGGTCATGATTTCAGGGTCATGAGATCAAGCCCCAAGTTGGGCTCTGTGCTGGCTGGGCATGGAGCCTGCTTGAGATTCTCTCTATCTCCCTCTGCTGCTCCCTCTGCACATACATATGCTGTCTCTGCTCTCACTCTCTCTCTCTCAAACAAAACAAAACCAAAAAAACAACCCAGAGAGGTGGCCAATTTAATATGCTGGAGTCCCAGGGCGTAGAGAGGGATACTGGGAAGGTACTTGCCCTGGGGTTGGGAGCCAGGTCAAAAGCTCTGCCATTACAAGCCACTTTACGTCAGTGAGCCTCAGTTTCCACATCTACAAAACCAGTGGGAATAGTTCTGGGGATGAAAAGAGATGTTTGCCAAGATCCAAGACATTCTATAAAGTGCACTCGGGACACAGGACAAGATTGCTACAGGTGTGCCACAAACCAAAATGACGGGAGGTCACACGTGGGCCAAGCAGCTCACCTTCTGGGCTGAGTCAGATGCTGGGGAGAGCTGCGAGGAAGCTGGAATTTCCGGGGTTCCCAGGAGGGCCACCATCTATCGGGACCAGAACCTCACCTATTTTGGGGATCCAGGGATGGTTACTGGTTGGGAAGGATTGGAAATGTCTGCCTGAAGGAATGGAATGGGATGAAGCGGCCAGAATCTGCGGTTCAGGTTTTTGTTTATTGAGCACTGGCTACTGTTTACTGATGTGCCCTGGTCTCTGGCGCACAGTGGTGCTCAGTAAATCCCTGGGGATTGAGTGAGCCAGCCGGGCCCTGTGCGAGCACTTTGGGATACGGTGGTGAGCATAGCAGACAGTGATTCCACCCTAACAAAAGTCACAGTTGAGAGGTGAGGTCCTTCAGATGGGGCGCCTCCAGGAAGTGGGAGGGCAGTCCCACTCTGTGCCCCTCTCTCCACAGCGGAGCGAGCGGGCAGCTCGGTTGGAGGAGACTGTTCCTGCAACACAGCCATCTGCCAGATTTTCCAGCAGGGCTACTTCTACCTGTATCCCTTCAACATCGAGTACAGCCTTTTTGCCTCCACCATGCTCTATGTCATGTGGAAGAATGTGGGCAGACTGCTGGCCTCCTCCACCCACGGCCACGGCCACAGCCACGGCCACACCCCATCCCAGATCAGCCTCTTCCGGGAGACCTTTTTTGCTGGCCCGATCCTGGGCCTGATGCTCTTCGTGGTGGGGCTGGCTGTCTTCATCATCTACGAGGTCCAAGTGAGTGGGGAAGGGGGCCGCCCCGAGCAGGCCCTGGTCCTCTACTACAGCTTCAACATCATCTGTCTGGGGCTCATGACCTTGGTCAGCCTGAGCGGCTCAGTCATCTACCGTTTTGATCGCCGGGCCATGGATCACCATAAGAACCCCACTCGAACCCTGGATGTGGCGCTGCTGATGGGTGCCGCCCTGGGCCAGTACGCTATCTCCTACTACTCTATTGTAGCTGTGGTGGTGGGCACACCCAGGGACCTACTGGGGGGGCTCAACCTAGCCCATGCTCTGCTCATGATTGCCCAGCACACCTTCCAGAATGTGTTCATCATCGAGAGCCTCCATCGGGGACCACCCGGGGCTGAATCTCATGATACCACCCCCAAGGAGTCCTGCCATGGCCTTACCTTTGCCAATGCAGATGCCCTTCACACCTTGCCTGCCTGCCCACCCACTCCCAGGCTGGTTGGCACCAGCCATGGCCTTACCTTTGCCAACACTGATGCCCTCCACACCTTGCCTGCCTGCCCACCCACTCCCAGACTGGTTGGCACCAACCCAGGGGGACCTCAGGAAGCAGTGGCCATCATCTTGGCCCCCAGGAGCCACTGGAGACGCCGGTGCCTGAAGGACATGTCTCTGTTTCTTCTGCTCTGCAATGTCATCGTGAGTAACTGGGGGGTGGGAGAGGGGAGATGGGGATAGGCTGAGGGGAAGAGAAGGTCAAAGAAGGATGCTCTTGGCCTTCTCTGTCTTGTCCCCAGCCCACTTGAGAATCCTACAGCTCTCTAGGAGAGAAGCAGGTTCAGAAAGAGTCAGATGTAGCCCCTGGGCAAACAGCATCTCAGGGCACAGAGAGAGAATGAACTCCCAGCCTTCTGGCATCTAAGCTGTAGATGGAACTGGAGGGCTCCTGGGGAATGCTGACCTGGGGGCTGGGCGGAGGTGGCAGGGAGCTGTGAAGTGATGTGGAGGGTGGGTGCCCTCACCCCTCCATGAAAGGTGTGACTGCTCCTGGGAACTTGTGACCCGCTTGCTTCTCAGAATAATTGGAGCAGCATCAGGAAGTAGCAGAGACCAGCATAAGTGTGAGCACTCTCTTAGCAGAGTGCGGTGGAGGGCTGGCCTGGAAGGGGGGCATTCACAACAGCGCCCCCTCCCTGCTAATCCGGCAGAACCGTTTACTAAGAGAAACCCCTGTGCTAACAAGCCTTCACCCCAGGGCAGAAACACTCCATGAAGACACACACCCCAGTAAAAGAATACCCCTCATGTGGCTACATCCCAATAGAGAAATGCTCCGGTGTAGATAAAATCCCCAGGGGAGAAATTTCTAATATGCAAACATTGTGCCCATGTGAGTGCATCCCAAATAAAGAACACAGCTCTACTGAAGTTTAACTCAAGATAAAAATATAAAAATAGCCCTTTTAGCTATAGTCTCCAACAGGAAAATATCCCTAATATACGAACAAACACGCTTAATGCGGGTCTATCCCGATGGAGAGCACATCTCCAGAGTGATTCCACCCCAGTGCACACAACATAAAATATACCAACAACCCTGACTTGAGTGCACTTGTAGTGTGTCCCCACTGTAAATACTGCCCAACCGACCGGTAATCTGTTAATAAAACAAGGGGGGGGGCAGGGACGATCACCAATTTCTGACCCCCCAGCAGAAGCAATAAGGCTCAAAACCTCTTTATATCTTGGGCTAGCCTGGAAGCCCACCTCAGCCTGGCCCTGCCCTCACCTTCCCCTGGGGGTGGAGGGGGGCACGCCTGCAGGCTGGGAGCTACCTTCTGGGAGGCTGGTTTCGCTCCAGGTACCTGTTCCTGGGTCAACTCTAGGATCATCCTCTCCAATTCTATTTTATAGGACAGAAACAGGCTCAAAAAGGAGCTGTGTGTGCCCAAGGACACATAGTTCACTGGGGTTGGGGAAGTGGGGCTGGCCCAGAAGCCATTGTTCTTTGCCTTATACCCTATGCCTGAACTGTCTGAGCTCCAGCCAGAGATGAAGCAGGATTCCAGCATTAACATCCTCCCAGATCTCGGAAAGGAACAGACCTGGCAAACAGAGCTTTTGAGGGTGGTAGTGGGGTACACTTCTGGCTGGATCCTGACGCCGCTGGTTTAGCCATTTGTACCCAATTCTCTCATCATCTTTCCCTTCCTCCCTATCTGACAAATGAGCCATAATGACAGGGTAGGAGATGGGATCACAGGGGGAGCCCCAGCCTGGGGGTGGGCAAGTTCAGTTGGGCACCTATTCTGAACTCCTTAGTGAGTGCCAGGCCCTGCCCAAGATGCTGAGGTTCCCCACTCACTACCCCTCAGCCCTTGCTGTCCATCAAACTGGAGGGCTGGGACCCCCTTCCTATCACCTCCCAGCAAAGTCCACAGAAATAACCTACAAGTGGCCAGCAGGGGCCAGGTCCTGATGCTCCCCTCTCTCCCCACAGCTGTGGATCATGCCTGCCTTCGGAGCCCGCCCTCACTTCAGCAACACTGTGGAGGTGGACTTCTATGGCTACTCACTCTGGGCAGCCATCGTCAACATCTGCCTGCCCTTCGGCATCTTCTACCGTATGCACGCTGTCTCCAGCCTGCTGGAGGTCTATGTCTTGTCCTGAAGGCCCTCACAGAGACATGTAGGGGTGGGGCTCTGCTCATGTGCCCACTCAGAGACCCCCCCAGGAAAGAACCCCAGGCTGGCAGTCACTGTGCCACATTAGCACCCATTCCCCAGGGTAGAATTTTCACAAAAGTTATTTTTCCAGGATGAGTTTTTAAATCACAATCAGGACATACCCACCCACCCCAGTATAATCCTGGAACTTGGAGTGACCAGGGAGGGGAGACCTCTCCCTATAATATCCAGGACCAGGCAAGATCCGGAAGTGTCTGCAGCTCTGGCGCCACCCCTGACCCCAGCCCTGTGGCCTGGAGCTGGAACTGCCTGAAGTTTGCCCCCCCCATCCCCCACTTCTTGTCTCAGCCACCCCATCTGAGATGATCTAGGAGAAAATCTTGGAAGTCAGAGCTGGAAGGAACCCTGGAGATTTTCAGGTCTCCAGCTTTTCAGTGAGTGAGCCAAATCCGAGTTACAGACTGGTTACAGACCTGTCAGCACCTGGGTGGCTGGGAGGGGCTGGACAGAGTACACGGGCTGCCATCTTCCTCTTCCCCTTATCCTCAAATGACAAATACGTTTGTTTATGTGTTCCACGAAGCGTGAAAGGTTAAGAAAGACGGACCTAGTCCAGCTACCATTTTACAAAGGAAACTGAGGCCCAGAGAGGTAAAGTGACTTGCCCGAGGTCACAGAGCTAAAGAGAGCCAGAGCCTTTCTACTAAGGATCATAATTTTCCAACAGCAGAACTTCTTCTTCCTTAAATAAAATATTTCAAGAACCCAAGTTTATAACATAAACAGGGCTGTTCTAGTGTAAGAGGTGTTGGGGGACACAGAACCTTACTGCGTGGGTCCTTCCCTTACCCACCACCCCCACTCCCTGGGGGTGGCTGAGGCGAAGCTCTAGGGCTTCTAATCCCCGAAAGGCATGAATGAGATGAACTTAGCAGACACAGAACCTGAGAAAGCCAGGCAGAGACTGAAGAGGAGGCCCTGCCAGCTAGAAGCGGAGGAAGAATCAGTGGCCAGCCACAGTCAGGTGAAGGGGGGGGACCGGCTAGAGTGGGGACTGCGGTGCGGGCTAGGGTGGGAGAGGTGGAATGAGGTGGGCAGGTCTCAGAGGCTGCTGCGGGATGTCAGGAGGGCCAGGGGGGGCGACTTCCCTCCTCCTCCGCCCCCTGTCCGGTCAGAATGAGGTCTCCTCCGCACCAAGGTCACGTTGGATTTAGGGAGAGACAGTGCAGTGGCGAGGTTGCTGCGTGACCGCACCCCTCCCGGGTGCTGGGTGGGGTACAGGAAAAGGCGACACCACACCTGGGAGGGGGTCCGGTCTGTTCCCTGCTCGGCCGCCAAAGGAAAGTGTGGCCTGAACCCCGCAAGGCGTTGCTGGGGCCTAAAGACGCTGCACCCCACCCTCCCCCACCTTCCCCACCCCCACCCCCACCCCCGGGGCGGGCCTCCGCGGGTCCTCTGACCCTGAGGCCGCCGGCCTGCACCGCCTCCGGCCCCGCCCGCCCGCCTCGCTATTGGCTGCACCTTCCGGGCTGGAGCCCCTGGCCAGGTAATTAACGGAGGATTAATGAGATCCCCAAAGTCAACAGAAAAATCGATGGGCCGAGGAGCCGGGAGCAGAGGCTGCGCGGTCCCGCGAGCGGAGGGCGTCAGGGGCGTCGGTGCGGGCGCAGGGGCCTGACCTGGCCCGACGATCTGCGCAGCTCGCAGTTGCTGGTCCGCCGGCCGCGATGCCCGCCCAGGCCTCAGGTAAGGCTCCCCGCGGCCCCGCAGGGCCCAGGAGCGCCCTTCGACTGCTGGTGGGACATTCCTGGCAGACCCACCCTCGACATTCACACCTACTCCGCCCCAGATCCGGGGTTCAAGGACTAGGGGCTACAGGGATAAGGAAGGGAGTGGAGGATGATTCGTTGGAGGCCAACTCCTGGCCACCCCAGAACCAGCCCCACTCTGCCCTCCACCCCAACTCTAGCTCCGCGTACCACCTCCTTTCCGCGGATGGAGGGCACACAAAAGGTCAGCAGGGCGCACCTCACCCCAGCCGGTCTGGGTGCGCACAGCCAAAAGGTGGGTGCCGAGGCCAGAAAGAAGCAAACACCCGGACGCCTGAGTTAAGGGGTGTGGGGTTGGGACTGCCGGGATGCCCGGTCTGAGGCATATGTGTAGCGGCTGCCGCAGGCTCCGAAGCCCCTCAAGTGACTCGTAGAGAAATCGCCGAGCTTCCAGCCTGTGCTCAGCAACCTCCTCCGGAGCTGGCCCTGCGCTCCTCACCAGGCGCCGCACCCCAACGACTGTGCTGCTTTCATCATCTCTCTGATCGCGACACACAAACCAGTTTGGTGTCTGGGCCCTCTGTTGGACTGGCCAAGGGAAGTGCCAGAGGGCGGCGGATTCCTCCTGGGTGTGCCCCCGCCCTCTTCCCCCGCTTCCCACCCCAGCACCCTCCCCCCCCCCATCGAACAAAATTCGCCACTTTCAGGGCTCCCTCTAGCGAAAGTTGGAGGGTTGGATTGGGGGTGGAGAGGAGAGGGAAGGACCCTGGAGAGAGAGGACCTGGAACCTAGTCCTCCAGTGTCCCCTCGAAGTCCAATCAAAAACCGCCCCTGACATTCACCAGTAATCCTGATCCTTCCAGCCTCTCGAGGACCTCAACAGAACTGGAAGGAAGTGCACAAATAGCTAACAGAGTTTTTTTGTATGCCAACCACGGCTCTACATGCATTTACGTGCATTAAATCGTTTAATTTTGACAAAACCCCTTTGAGGTAGGTATTATGCGTTAAGTCCTTTGTTTATTCATTGAGAAATCTTTACTGAGCATCTTCTGTGTACCAGGCACTATTCCGTAGTTGTACATCCGTTTTGCACATGAGGAAACTGAGGCACAGAGAGTCTAAGTAGATTATCCAAGATCACAGATGTATTAAGTGCCAGAATCTGGGCTCTTTTCATTTTAAGATTTTTTATTTATTTATTTGAGAGAAAGCAGAAAGAGAACACATGAGTGGCGGGAGTGGGAGAGCAGAGAGAGAGGGAGAACCAGGAAGCCCCACACGGGACTCTCTTGATCCCAGGACCCTGGGATCATGACCTGAGCCAGAGGGAGATGCTTAACTGACTGAGCCACCCAGGGTGCCCCTGAATCTGAGCTCTTTAGGCTCTACTGCCCTGGGAGGACCAGCGAGATTCTGGGGAAGACTGAAAAGGAGCAGTCAGGGTTGGGAGAAAAGGAGCAGGGGGGTGTCCCTATGAGCCTTATGCTTGCTCAATTTGGGCAAGGGAACCTGGGAGGACGATAAAGATCATCTCTAAAGTCTCCTGGGCTGGGCCAGGATGGAAAGCACTTAATGGGAAGGGTCTCTGTCCATGGCTTTGGTGCTGAAATTTCCCCCCAGAAAATGGCAGAGTCCGTCAGCAAAAGCATCTTGCCTATGCAAGCTTTGGAGGGTCCCAGTTAAGCAGGACCTGGTCTCTGCCCTAGAGGAGGAGTTCCTGGTCTTGAGGGGAGCCAGCCATGCCCAATGTACCTCACCAGGCAGGACACACCTGCTCTCAATAGATACTTGGGCAGGGAGAGAACAGGCAAGGCAGAGGGACAGCAGGCTCCAGGAGTGAAGGGTGGAGACGGGAAGCCACACACATGAAATGTGGAGCCCTGGACTCTCTGGCTGGGCCTGGATCAACACGGGGGCAGGTGCCCGAGTGTGAGAAGGGAGCTGGACAGAGAGGGGGCAAAGCTAGAACAAAGATGGCAGAGATTACTGGGAAAGGGGGACAAAATCATTTGTAGAATCTTTAAGAGAGGACTGAGTTTTATGATTCTATTTACTATAAGAGAACCACAGAAGGTATAAATATTGAGCAAGTTCACATGGGAGTGTGGGGGCTGGAGAGGCTGTATTTTAAAGCCAGATGTGGTGAGGGTCTTTTGGTGGTTACAGAGAGAAAAAGGCTGAAGCTCCTGAAGCTCAGAGTCCAGAGACAGAGACAGAGCAAAGCACAGTGAGTTAAAATGGAGCAAGCATGATAGGTGATGTTCCAGCAACAAGCACAGGGTGCAGTGGGGGTACCTAGTGCAGCCTTGGCATGGGGCTCAGGGAAGGCCTCTTAGAGAGTGGGGTTCTGCTCTAAGCTGCACTCAGCTGAAGGGCAGGGGCAAATGGTTGGGTGTGGGTAGACAGGGAGGTGAGCAAATGCTGGCACATTCTGGAAGCTGCATCAGGAGGACACATCCCACAGCAGGGAATGGGGTCTGAGGACAGTGCTAGAGAGGTAAGTCAAGGCCAGACCAAGAAGCAAAGGAAGCTAGCCTCCAAACCCGTACTAAACATGCACTGCTCGGTTTTGTTTTGAAAGTCTGTACAGGCCATGCGAGGTAGTTTGGACTTTATACTGAGGGCAAATGTTTGCTTTTTTAATTTATTTTTTAATCCAGGTATAATTAACATATAATGTTATATAGTTTCAGATGCACAATATAGTTCTATACATTTGCCAGTGCTCCTCAAGTGTACTCATAATCCCCATCACCTACTTCACCACCCCCCACCCACCTCCCTTCTGTAACCACCAGTTTGTTTTCTACCTTGAAGAGTCTGATGTTTCATGTCTCCTTTTTTCTTGTTTGTTCATTTTTTTTTTCTTAAACTCCACATATGAGTGAAATCTTGTGGTATTTGTCTTTCTCTGAGTGACTTATTTCACCTCAGCAATTTTGTTGCCTTTGTTGGACTCGCAGTAGGGGAGAGGCACGGTGGGTAGGGAGACCGGTTCAGGAGAGAGAGGAAGGGGCCCTGGACTAAGGTAGAGGTTGTGGTCCAGAAAAATCTAAGGGAGACTTATGGGCTAGACTGGACAGGCTTGGACCTGAGATGTTAAGGGGTGAAGGGGAGAGACAAGGAGGGTACCTGGCTACCTCCTGGAAGAGGTAGGGATGAAGACACCACTCACTGATAGTACAGGCCTCCTGCAGCCTGGAGGATGAGGACGGATTGCATTTGGAACCCTGGGCCCAGAGCACCAAGGATGTGAGGGCACTGGCAGCACCAAGGGAGAGCACCAGAGGTGGCAGTGATGGTGAGGGAGCCTCCCGGGTCAACTGAGAAGCCTCCCACAAGGACAGTGCCCTGAAGCACCAGGACATCCCCACTCTCTAGTTAGATTCAGCCCCATAAAGAATGGACACCCAAAGGGCCCACAGAGAGCATGCAGAACTCCATGGTGGGGCCCTGAGCTACAGGTATGGGGTGACTCAATATCTTGGTCCCAGAGAAGGGTGACAGAGAGGCAGCCTGAGTGAAAGCTTGAGGAAGGTGAGAAAGTAGCAGGAGACATCCAGAGAAAGAGAAGTCAAGGATGGTATTCCCCATATTGTGCTGGGCATTCATAGGTCATCCAGGCCGGGGGTGGGGGGGATGGTGCACATGGAAGTCATTTCTGTCCAAGTCTGGGCCATAGCATGCATGCTGATCCCAACCTGTCCCATGGTCACGGCAGACGTTGCAAATCAATCACAGAACTTTTCCCCCTACACCTTAACACACTTTAAAATCAATTTTAATCACACAAGTGATGTGCTTTTAGAAACTAGACCATTGGGGTGCCTGGGTGGCTCAGTGGTTGAGCCTTCAACTCAGGTCATGACCCTGGGATCCTGGGATCCTGGGATCAAGTTCCACATCAGGCTCCCCACAGGGAACCTGCTTCTCCCTCTGCCTGTGTCTCTGCCTCTCTCTGTGTCTCTCATGAATAAATGAAATCTTTAAAAAAGCAAAACTGGAGCATTAAACCATTCTCAATCCTAGTGCCCTCCTTCCTTCCCCAGAAGAAACTCCTATTCTGAATCTGGTGGGTGTCTCCTAGACCTTTAAAAAGGAGTAGTTTTATATGTACCCATAATAGAGTATTATTTTAAATCACAGAGCATTCTTTCCCACCAAGCCCACACTCAGCCTCAGGATCCTTCTCAACAGAGCATGCTAGGCAACCATCACCCAACTAACTAGAGTCAGAACAAGAGAG